TGCAGCTACTGGAATTGAAGTTTATTATTTGATTTTTTTTTGTGCTGTTTTTGTTTAATTTGAGGAATAATTTTTAATGGTTTTTGAGGTTTACAGTTAAATGGGTTTGCAGATTTGGATGAGCAATTAGTTTTAGTGAATTTTGAATGCTGTTTATTGGATTGTTAAGGACGTTTGTGAATTTAGAGGCAGATGGGAAGCTGAAAAGTCAAATTTGTTGATTATCTGGATCAATTGGCTCAATTTTGTGTGGGTTTGCTCAGTTTTGCTAAGTTTCTTTAAGTTTTGCTCAATTTTGTCTGGATTTGCTCAGTTTTGCTCAGATTTGCTCCGTTTTTGCTCAGTTGTGCTTGGTTATTTTCCATTTTCTCAGCTCAGATTTGCTCAGTTTTGGTCAGTTGTGCTCAGTTTTGCTCAAATTTGTCTGGATTTGCTCAGTTTTGCAAAGTTTCGCAAAGTTTTGCTTACTTTTGCTCAGTTTCGCTCAGTTTTGCTCAGTTGTGCTCCGTTATTTTCCGTTTTTGCTCAGTTTTGTCTAGTATTGCTAAGTTTTGCTCAGTTTTGTCTAGTTTTGCAAAGTTTTGCTAAGTTTTGCTCAGCTTTGTCTAGTTTTGCTCAGTTTTTCTCAATTTTTCTCTATTCTAACAAACTTTACACAATTCTCAAACTCTTGTTAATAATTTCCATCAAAATAAGCTCAGTCCACACTTCACAGAACACAATGCACCCCAAACAACCGCAACCAATCCTCTCAAATTTCCACACTTCACCTCCTTCCATTCAATTTAACCTCTCAAATTGAATTAAAAACCCATAAAACCGCAAGAGTGTTAAAAACAATTTTTTCATCATTTTATGCACATTTACACTTTTTTTTTTTCTTATTTGCTTTGTCTTTTCTTATTGAATTTTATTTAATTTTTTATGATGATGCCGCAAATTTCCTGTTTCCGCTCAATTTAATGCTCGAGCATGTAAATATGTGTGAATGTATAAATAAATAGAGAAGAGATTGTCAAAGTGAAAGGAACAACACAAAAAGTGTGTAAATAAAGAAAAGAAAAGATTTTTATTGGCGACAATAAAACGAGTTGATGAATGTCGTTGCTGGTGTAATTAAGGAAATTTACATAAAAATAATAAACATTGAAAGATGTAAATGAATGGATTGTGATGCAGTTGAGGGGATTTGAAGAAAGATTAAGCGCAATGTTCTTGATTAGAAAATGATTTAAATTCGTGACAAATTGATGAATTTGATGAGAACTTTGACAAGTTTGCGAATAGCACAAGCCGGTTAATTGAATAGAAATCAGGCACCGAGCTAGGATAACTCTAGAATGATGATGAATTCAATTTGTGTCAAGAATCGTGGCAAAGTCACGCTAGACAAGTTCCGGTTTTCTTTTCTGTTAAACGACTTGTGTTATTCGGGATATTTGGACCCAAACCCGGTTTTTGGAGCTAACCTGAACAAATATCTTAAATAAAATTATAAAAGAGCTTCCGATTGCTGTGCAACTAGTCTAATGATCTTAAAGTTGACTTGTTATTAGTTCTAGCTTTCTAGCTATTTTTTATACTGTCATTTTTGGTGTAAGAATCAATAATGACTCAATTGTAGCTACATTTAATTAATTTCGATAGATTTGTACTCAAAAACTGCTGAAGTTTTCAATTTATGCTGCCAAACTGGTCTTGGACCTCAATTATACACAAATATAATAATAATGCATCCATATCATCAATTCAAGCCTCCTTAATTCCATATAATTTTTCTTAAAAAAACTCAATTCAAAAAATCTCAATAAATTCCATTCAGAACCCAGAAATTAAGAAGTTTCTGCTGAGGGTTAAGCTTATTACATCAAACAATGAACCTTAAAAAATCTACTTTTCTAGTCGTTTCAAAACGTCAAGTGAATGGCATACAATGGAAAGGTAAAGCACTGACTGTACAAAAAAATCCTAAAAACTACGCAATATAAAAAAAAAATCTTTTTAAAAATTACACAAAAATTGAATCAACAAAAGACGAAAAAAAGGATCAAAATCTATTGAATTTCGTGTAGTCAAGTTTCATGAGCTATTGTTTGTGGATTTTTTTTTTCAAATTTTTTGGTTCTTGTTAATTTGTAAAGGAATTGAATAGAAGCAAAAAAAATTTGTGACAGTTGAAACTTTTAAAAGGATTTTGATAATGATTTTTAGTTGGGGATTATATTTGGGACTTGAATGGTTCAGAAGTCATTAATTATTGAGAATAATTGGGTTTAAAAAAAATATTTCATTCAATCTGAACTCAAAATCTAGTCCAACTCAGCTACAAACTCTAAAAATTTCCATAATAAAATCGAATCATTTTGATTATCGACAATAAAAATCTATGTCCAAATAAAGACGAAAAAAGATCAATCGCTTAGATTAGATCGAGTCGAAAGATAAATGTTTAAAATCGAAAGCAATCAAAAAGCGCCCATAAAAGACATTAAAATTCATTCAGAAATTGCCCATTAATAGATGGAAGAATCAGTTAATCGCTTTGGAATCAATGGTGGAACTGAAGATTGAGTCTAATCATCATAAATGTCGCTTATGGATGGGAATTAGAATTAAGATGATTTTTTGGACGTTTTAAATATTTTTAAATGTTTTTTGGAACTTTTTAAACTTTTCAAATTTTTTACACATTTTTAAACTTTTTTCAAAAATATTTTTAAAGATTCTTTACACTTATTAAAAAATACAAGCAATTTAAAAATGTCAAAAAAATTCAAACAATTTTATAAAATTTGAAAAAAATTTAAAAGTTCTTTAAAACAATTTAAAAATTGTCAAAAAATATGAAACAATTTTTAAAAATTCAAGCAACAAATTTAAAAAAAATCTAAAAAACTTTCAAAACATTCAACAAATATTAAAAAATTTAAAAATGTCAAAAAACATTTATAATAATTTATAAACTGTCAAAATCTTTTAAAAAAATCCAAAAAATTCAAGAAATATGAAAAGTCCAAAAAAAAAATGAAATAAGAATTCAAAAATTCCAAAAAAAAATCAAACGTTCAAATTCTTTTAAAAAATCCCGAAAATTCTGCCAAATTCATCACAATAGCCTCACCATCACTGTAGGCCTAATTCAAACCCATTATTAAATTTCCAAAAAAACTATAAAAATAAACTCCATTGAAATTAAGACATCATCATCATCTAGTAAAGCAGTTTGTGAAAGACAGAAATAGAGAAATGGATCGAATCATTAAAATCGAGTCTAAAATTTCTTCATTTGTCTGTAAATTGAATTGTTTTGGATGTTCCTATTATTGCTTACATTATTAAGAAAAAGAAGAAAAAAAGTTTCGTGTGAAAAATGCCGACATTGATGAAGAAATAGACAAGATGATGATTTCTGATGTAGGTAGAATTAAAAAAATAAGGAAGATTTTTTTTTTTGTCTTTTTTTGTGTCGGCTCATTGTTATTGTTCTTGATCTTTTTCGTTCTGGTCTTTGTGGAACTGAAAATTGCGGCAAATTTTGGGATTTTTATGATGAAATCGACTCAATAATGAGAATTTTTGATGACTTAATTTATAGATTTGGTTGAATTGTTGATGATTTATGGAAGGTACGCATCTAGGAATGAGAATGAATGACCATTTAAGAATATTTTAGAAATTACTTTAACTCTTTCAACACAATTCATGAAATTTGTGAATTCTAACCTCAAAGTTATTAGAAATTTGGAACTTTAACCTCAAAATTCTTAGAAATTTGGAATTCTAACCTCAAAATTCCTAGCAATTTGGAACTCTAAACTCAAAATTCATGAAAGTTATGAATTCTAACCTCAAAATTCATAAACATTTGGAATTTCAACCTCAAAATTTGTAAAAATTGTGAATACTAACCTCAAAATTCATAGAAATTGTGAATTCTAACCTCAAAGTTCATAAAAATTTGGAACTTCAACCTCAAAATGTGTTAAAATTGTGAATACTAACCTCAAAATTCCTAGTTATTTGGAATTCTAACCTCAAAATTTACTAAAATTTGTAAATTCTAACCTCAAAATTCATTAAAATTGTGAATTCTAACCTTAAAATTCATGAAAGTTGTGGATTCTAACCTCAAAGTTCATGAAAATTGTGGAATCTAACCTCAAAGTTCATAAAAATTTAGAACTTTAACCTCAAAATTCATGAAAATTGTGAATTCTAACCTCAAAATTAGTTTAAAAAATTGAACATAATTTTAATATTTTCTTCAACATAACCTCAAAATCTCAAATTTTCACTCCTTTTCCTCTCAAAACAATTCCCACGCATCCCAAAACCATTCTTTAACCACAACAAATCCCAATTTTGTCACGATCATCCGCTCAACAATCCACAACAACTGCATTCTATTCATCCAAATAATTAAAGTGTATCATATAGACATGAAAAATGCATTTTGTGCTCTGTCATCACATTTTTTTGTATCTTCGTTCTTTAACATGAGCCACTCGACAGGCACTCAAATTGCGTTGAAATTCTTTCAAGTTTTGCCTATCGTTACATCGACTTCCGCTTTTTGTGATGCATGTTAATGTGTATTTTTGTTGTTGTTGGAGTCTTTTTACTACATCCGATGGATTTTCTATGAAATAAATGTTTTGAGAAGTGTCTGAAGAAATTTTTTGTTAAAATTTTGGGGTTAGGGGCTCTAAAATCGAGGAATTTTTGAGGTTATGTTGACGACTTTCTTGGTTTTTGAAGTTAGTTTAGCAATTGTATTAATTTTGTGGTTATATTTACATTTTTTGATTTTTGAGGTTATGTTGACAAGTTTTCATAAAATTTGTGGTTATGTTGGAACTTTTAATTAATTTTAAGGTTAGAATTCAAAATGTTTAGGTTAAAAAACAACAAAATATCTTGCAAAACCTTCGATTCTGATTTATATTCCCACAATGTTATCAAATTTACTAAATTATCAATTTCCTTCTTTTCATTCACAGGGCAAAGCCGATGGCCGTCGTACAAGCATCTACCTCCGTCACCTATTCCAATCACATTTCTTCAAAATTGGTCGGAGTATTGACAAGCATGCGGGCATAATAATCTTCATGGCAGCCCTAATACTCGGCACATTTTGTGTCGGCCTAAAATCCGTCATCATTCACTCAAATGTAAATCAATTATGGCTGGAAGTGGGCGGAAGTCTTGAGCAAGAACTCGCATATACAGAGAAATATCTCGGCTACATAGATACATCAATAAATAATCAACTTCTAATACAGACACTGAAGGATGAAGACTCGACGATATTGTATGATCAAGCACTTCTGGCGCACTTGAAAGTTGTCAAGCAGGCACTTTCCGTGGATGTTTTTATTGGTGAAGTGACGTGGACGCTCAAAGATCTCTGTCAATTGCCATCGAGTCCGCGTTTTGATGAACATTTTATGGAGCAAATACTTGAAATTGTGATACCGTGTGCAATTATAACGCCATTGGATTGCTTTTGGGAGGGAAGTAAGCTTCTTGGACCGGATCGTGAGCCGCATATACCGTAAGTTGACATTATTTTGATTTTTATTACCGCGTTTGCTCAGTTTGTGTATGGAGTAGAAATATACACTAAAATTGGGTTATCGGGAATCATTTGTTTACAATTAGAGTCATTAGAGTCTTACATTATGGATAGCTTCCGCATTTTAGTATTCAGAACTTTAATCCGAACCGTAATCCGAACAATAAATCCGAACGGTAATTGGATCATTATTCCGAATAGTAATCCTTTAAGTAATCTGAACAGTGATCCGAACAATGGTACAATCAGTGATCCGAACAGTAATCCGAACATTAATCCGAACCGTAATCCGAACATAAGTTCGACATAATAGTCAACTGAGCTAGTCAAGGCATTGACAACTGCGTTTTTATAGATGAATTATCAAATCAGATTGTGGTCGGATAATCGAGTAAAACCTAGTCAGAAAGTTGAGGATGATTCTAGTGTGAACAAAGTGTGTATAAATTATACAAATCTGAATCTTTCCTCAACTCAACTCATGTCTACATCAACAAAAAAAAAAAACCAATAAATTCCAAAATCAACTCTAAAATTCAAATAACTCCAATTATTTCCATAAAAACCTCCCATAAATCCATTTCCATTCTCAACATAATCCACCTAATACCCAAAATAAAGCGACATAAAATTTACCCGAAATTGAATACATTAAGATTTAAGATTAAACATTACATTCTCGATATCTTTTAATTTCACGATTAAAAATCATGTTTTGTTTCATTTTCAATAGAAAAATGTCTCAATTTATGGTCACCGTCGTCGTCTCATTTTACCTCAGAGATTGTTATGTTCATTTTGAATAAGAAAAATCACTTCAAATGGTCGTAAATGAGTCTCCATATGGACGCATATCTACGCATTCCTGCTTGTGTATTGGTTAAGAGTTAATGTAAATGCATAGAAACTAATTTAAAATGCGTGCGGTTCACTATTGGAGGTCTCAAATGGAGTGAAATGAGAAAAAGAAGAAGAAAAAGTTGTTTAGATCGCATCTCGTGTACACATGTGATGAGGCGAATGAGAAGATGAAGTGAATTTTTAGAAAACAATGGTGGAGTTGTGTTTGGAAAAATGGAAGGTTTTGTGGATTGATTTTTGGATATTTTGATAAAATTTGGTAACTTAACCTCATAATGTGACAATTTAAATTCAAAAGTTTACCAACTTAACCTCAAAATTTGGCAACTTAACCTCAAATTGGTAACATAACCTCAAAATTTGAGAATTTAACCTCAAAATTTGGCAACTTAACCTCAAAAATTGACAATTTAACCTTGAAATTTACCACTTTGACTTCAAAATCTGGCAACTTAACCTTAAAATTTGGCAACTTAACCTCAAATTGGTAACATAACCTCAAAATTTTCCAATTAAACTTCAAAATTTGGCAACTTAACCTTGAAATTTGACAATTTAACCTCAAAAACCAGATTAAAATTTTTCCATCATAACCTAAAATTTCACTCAAAAGAATTTCAAAAATTCCACATCATCGACCTTAAGCTCATTAAAGTGTAAAAAATCCGAGAAATTTTTCTAAAATCACACACAATTTACGAGTGCCACACAAACATGAATTGTTCAATTCGTTAGACATTCGAATGTAAAATAACATAAAAGGGCAATAAAGCCTATCACAAACCACCCATAAAATATTCTAAACAACTCAATTCCATCTCAATATTTTTTAAGGGGAATCGAAATGAGATAAAATTGACATTTTTACATAAAGTTTTGTTAGAGATGAGCTTGATTAGATTTAATGGAGTATATTTGGGGAATTTTTATGGAATAGGAGCAATGGCTAGGGTGCAGTTTGAGAACATTGGGATTTAAATCGGTCTTTATGCTATGAAACTCTATTGAGGTTAGCAAAGAGTGAGAAATACACAATGTGTGTAGTCGGATAGGCGATTTGAACTTAATCGGATAATAGAATCAAACCTAGTCGGATAATCGAGTCAAACATAGTCGGATAATCGAGTCAAACCTAGTCGGATAATCGAGTCAAACCTAGTCGGATAATCGAGTCAAACCTAGTCTGATAGTCGAGTCAAACCTGGTTGGATAATTAAATCAAACCTCAATTTTATCCCAATTTGAACAATTTTTCATCAAACTGCACCAAAAATGCGCCATAAATCTCTCAAACTTATTAAAAATTCCTTACTTGCATCAACAACATTGTAACTTTTTGTCTTTGTCCATCCAAAAACGAAGAAATAAAAAAGAATTAAAATATATGTGAATGTGATAAGACAACAATTTCTCACATGTAATGTGAATGAATAAAAAAATATTTACATGAGCATCGACATTCAAAAGAAGAAGAAGACACACAAAAAAGAGTGGATCCATAAATTTATTTAAAACAGAGACAATCTTTGTCGTATGTTATGTCATGTGTGTGCTCTGGTCTGGGTGTTTCCACTTGCGTGGTGTTCCTCTTTTCTTATCTTGAAAATTATTCAAGTGTACTTTTGGATTTTTTAACATATTTTTTTTTGTGTGCCTTTGTTTGGGTTTAATGGAGGAATCAGAGGAATTTGAATGTGATTTATTGTTTTTTTACAAATTATTTGAATCTTAAAAACTGAGCAAAATCAAACCTACCTTAAAAAAAATCAAACCTAACCTCAAAAAAATTAAACCTAACCTCAAAAAAATCAAACCTAACCTGAAATTTCGAATTTCTTCACAGACTCCTTAACAACAAGTTTGGCATCATCAGCTGGCAATCCCTCGACCCAGCAAAACTCCTCGAAGAAGCCAGCAAGTCATTCAACACTGAAGAAAAATCCTCAAAATCAGACCAAGGCATGATCGCAAAAGTCGAGCAGTATATGAAGCAGGCCGGCATCACAACAGGTTACATTCGTAAGCCATGCCTTAACCCATACGATCCACAATGTCCTGACTCAGCACCAAACAAGAAATCAAGACAAATTCCCGATATTGGAGCTGCTCTTAGTGGTGGATGTTATGGCTATGCTATGAACTTTATGCATTGGCCAGAGGAACTGATTGTTGGTGGTGCTGAGAAGAATGCAACGAATCATATCAGAAAGGCTAAGGCACTTCAGACTGTAATACAGTTGATGAGCGAGCAGGAACTTTATGATCATTGGAATGACAATTATAAGACTCATTATGCTGGATGGAGCTTGAAGAAGGCAAAGGAAGTGTTGAATGCATGGCAGGAGAAGTTCTCGAATGAGGTAATTTTGTGAATTTGAATTTTTTAACGGATTATTTAAATTTGAATTTTTAACGGTGTTTAAAAATTTGAATTTTTAACGGAATTATGAAATTCAAATTTTTTAACCACTTTTTACAATTTTTAACAAATGTTTTTCCACCCAACCTCAACCAGGTCCGCAAGCTAATGCGCGAAGAAGGTAACACAACATATGCAGCCTATGATTTCCACGCATTCAGCTCCACAACCCTCAACAACAGCCTCCGATCAAATTCAAAACCAGATTTTATTCATCTTTCCATTTGTGTCCTCATCATCATCGTCTACACAGGTTTGGTGCTATACCGTTTTGGCGATCCCGTCAATGGACAATCAGGAGTTGGAATGTTTGGCATTTTACTTCTCTGCGCATCGACAGCTGCCGGTCTTGGTGTGTGTTCGCTCCTTGGCATTCCATTTAATGTGTCAACAACACAAGTTGTGCCTTTAATTGCTTTGGGACTGGCTGTTGACCAAATTTTTATCTTAACACATGGATATGACTCGAGAAGGAATAGTAATGAGCAAATGCATACGGCACAAATATTAAAAAAATATGGACTGAGTGTGCTGTTTAATGGAGCATCGACAGCAAGTGCTTTTTTGGGTGCTGCACTCTTGCCAATTCCAATTCTTAGGGCATTTGCATTGCAAGCAACAATTTTGATTACTGTCAATTTAATTGCAATTTTATTCGTATTTCCCGCATTTATTACACTCGATTTGAGGAGGAGGCGATCATCACATATGGACATCTTTTGTTGTCTACCAACTTTCACTCCACCACGACCGATGGAGCAGTATAACCTCAAAAGTAATGAACACAATGACTCGCTGCTTAATAAACCGAAAAAGTGTCAGAAATTAACGACTAAATTGTACATTGACATAATTTTGAATGGAAAGATGAAGGCACTCGGGATATTAACGATACTGGCTGTTTTTGGATGTTCAGCATATGCGACAGTGAAGCTACAAGATGGATTTGAATTGACTGACTTGATTCCAAAGAACACGAGTGAGCATAACTTTATATCAGCACAGAGCAACTTGTTTGGATTCTACAACATTTATGCAGTGACTCAAGGCAACTTTGAGTATCCACAGAACCAGAAACTACTTAGAGAATATCATGAAGCATTCATTCGTGTTCCATACATCATCAAAAATGACAATGGTGGACTTCCAGACTTCTGGCTTAACCAATTCCGTGACTGGCTTAAAAGTCTTCAATTTGCCTTCGATCGTGACTATAGAAATGGTGCAATCAGCAAGGAACGATGGTACGCAAATGCATCAGCCGATGGAATCTTAGCATTCAAGCTTCTCGCTCAGACTGGACATGTCGACAATCCAATTGACAAGTCACTGATTACACACAACAGATTAGTCAATTCCGAAGGCATCATCAATCCAAAAGCATTTTACAACTACTTATCAGCCTGGGCATGGAATGATGCAGCATATGGAGCATCACAAAGTAATCTTCGTCCATCACCACGCATGTGGATTCATTCACCAAAAGATAAGCACATGGAAATTCCAAAAAGTGCACCACTTTCGTATACTCAACTGCCATTCTACCTCCATGGATTGTACACAACAAAAGACATTAAGAATGTGATTGAAGAGATTAGGGAGCTCTGCACAAAGTTTAATGCTCGTGGCTTGCCAAACTACCCTTCAGGCATTCCATTCCTTTATTGGGCGCAGTACTTTAATCTTCATATTCTTATTGGCATTGCATTGGCTGGATCGATTATTGTTACATTTGTGCTGTCGTTGATCTACTTGCAATCTATGTCAGCTGCTGTTCTTGTTGTACTTAATGCCTTGTTTGTGTTTGCACAACTATTTGGAGCGATGTTGGTCTTGGATGTTAAGTTGTCAGCTATTGCTGCTGTGGTGCTGATTGCTAGCATTGGATTGAGCATCTGCTTCACTGCTAATATTACTTTGGTGAGTATTTTTGTGTTTTTTGGGGTCTTTTGAGGTTATGAGGGGAATTTTGAGGTTATGTCAAATTTTGAGGTTAATTTCCTATATTTTGAGGTTAAACCTTGAAATTTGAGATTATGACAACAAACTTTGAGATTAAAACTTGCAATTTGAGGTTATGTCACAAAATTTTGAGGTTAAGTCTTAAAATTTAAGGTTATGACGCTGAATTTTAAGTTAAGACTTAAAAATGAGGTAATGTCACCACAACTTGAGGATAAGACTTGAAATTTGAGTTTATGACAACAAACTTTGACGTTACGACTTGAAATTTGAGTTTATGTCACAAAATTTTGAGGTAAAGTCTTAAAATTTGAGATTATGACGCCGAATTTTGAGGTTAAAACTTTAAATTTGAGGTTATTTCACCAAATTTTTAGGTCAATTTCCAAAATTTTAAGGTAGTTTGGGTTAAAAGGGGTACAAAACTACAAAATTTTTCAAAACTTACTAATAAAATTATTATTTTTTTATTCAATTTTAGGGCTTCCTGACATCGATCGGCAATCGTGAACGACGTCTTCGACTAGCCTTAGAGCACACAATCCCGTACATATGCCACAGCATCACAACATCTGTCCTAATCCTCCTGATCCTCTATTTCTCACCATTTGAATTTGTCGTCAAGCATTTCTTCTACTTACTCATCACATTCTGGATACTATGTGCTGTTAACAGCTTGTTCCATTATCCAATGTTGTTGCTGTTGTTTGGAATGAAACCAGAATTGATTCCATATCAACATCAGAACCGAATCTCAACACCATCACCACAATTGAAGTCTGTGAATAGTCAGAAGTCGAATAAGGCAATTACATTGCATAATAAAAGGACATGCAGGAAGAAGTCACATCACTGCCATGTTAAGAATACAAATCTTAATAACGAGCCATCGCTAACGACAATTACGGAAGAGCCATCATGGCAATCATCAGCATCTTCAATCTCAAATGCATCAGGCTACATCAGTGATGGAAATGTGTCGCACAAGTCAAAGAACTTTTCAATTCCTCGCGTTCACAACAACACAAAAGAGGATAATCTTGGCAATATAACAATCGATGCAGCAACAGCAGCAGCACAGCAGGCATTTAAGAGCATAATTGTACAGCCTGAGGTGACGGTCGAGACTCATCATAATGGATCACAACAAAATACCAAAGTCACTGCAACGGCAAATATTAAGTTGGAATTTACGACGGGTGGAACATCGACGCAGACACAGACACAGCCACAGGCGGAAGTTAAGAAGGATATAAATATAAATTGCAGTTGATGAGATGGACTTGATTGAATTATGGTCGATATCGATGAGATATGTATGATTATTATTATTATTATTTAGGAAATTATTATTATTGATATTGCTCAGGGATTGAAAACTAAAAATGAAGTAAAAAAACACATTGAAAAGAAATTAATTTAAAAATTAAGTTAAAAATGAGATTTTAAGAGATTCTTTTTTTGTAAATAGAAAATTAAATTTATTAATAATTGAAAAAGTTTTTAAATATGTCAATAATTATTTTATTCAAGATATTTTATTGAAAAATGAGTTTTCAAAATTATTTTAAATTTTTTAAAATTTTAAAACTTTCAAATTTTTATTTTTCAGTTTTTGAAAAATTATAAAAATAATAAATTTTGCAACATTTTTAAATCTCAACTTTTTTTAAATTTCAATAATAAAAAAAAATAATTGTTGACTTCTTTATCAACTATCAAAATTCACGGATATAAAAAATCGCAAAAAATAATTTAAATTATATTTTAAATTTCAAAATTTATTTAAGCATAAAAAAGATTTCATAATACGACTGGTGACTGATTTTCGTAAACGAAGTTATTAAATTAATTAAAAGAAAAATGTTGAAATTATTAAACATAATTTTGTAATTTATTTATAAAAGAATTGAACAAAATTAAAGAAAATCATATTTAATAAATATTTAAATGTAAAAAATAAGAGAGAAAAAATTAAAGTGCCGACATTTCGTGCCAAAAATCGGATTTTAAGTGTACATGCTGCACAGGAAAGGTTCTTAAATCCAAATTATATTTTTGAAAATTTTAAAAAAAATTATTTTATTACATCTATAAATTTAAATTGTGATTTTTAAAAGTTTTAAACAAAAATCTTATTTTCTGGATTTTTAAATTTATATGACAAACAAAATCCAATGACTTTTTAAAATTAAAACAAAAATTGTAAATTATAGAAATTAAATTTAAAAAAATATTAAAAATCTCAGAAAAATTTAACAAATACTCAAATCAAACAGAAAAGATAGATTGGAAAATGGAACAATAAAATTAAAAGAATAGAATTGAAAATAAAATTATCTTGCAAGTCAACTTGACTGTTAAAAGAGTCAAGTAGCCTGTCAAGTAGACGATCAAGTAGCTTGCAAACCCACTAAACTTACAAGTTTACTTTCAATCCAAATTAATTTGACAAAAATAAATTCAACTAAAATCTCTTCAAAAAAAAAATCAGTAAAAACAACTAAAACAAAAATATATTTTTTAAATAATTTTAAATCGAACCATTTAAGCCAAAAAATAAAATGTAGAATTTAAATGCTAAAATATGATTATGTCCACTAGAATAAGATGCGGTAGCCTAAGAAAAAATATGTCTCGAGAGGTTACCAATTGTGTATTGCTGAATTATTTCTATTATTTTTATTATTAAAAAAACAAGTTTTGTACAAAGAATATTTAAAAAAAATATTTTGAAAGATTTTTATAAAAATTTTGTGAATAGAAAAAAGTGAAAAATTAAAAAAAAATTGAAAATAAAAAATTGAGTGAAATTTTTACAAAAAAGAAAAATTAATTTTTGTTTTTAATAATTTTTATTTTCTAGGAATTTTCATTGCTTTTGCTTGCTGACCTCTATCTTAGGATTCCATTTTAAGTTTCATCACGAAAGTATGGTTTTTTGAATTACCGTTCCCGTGTGATTTCGGGAATTAAGAACGGGAACGGGATTCCCGTTTGGGGCCGTTCACTTATGACGTCCAAAATTAACGGTCATTTTTCAAAAAAGAACAATAGATTTCCAGGAATTTCTATTGTTCTTTTCTTGCTGACTCCCCCCCCCCCCCCCCGGACGTCATAAGTTAACGACCCCTTCACGAGTTTATAAGCCTTGCTATTTTTAAATCATTTTTATATTTTGACATTCGTTTGTAAGTTCTGAAAAGGTTAGTGTAAGTTTGAAATATGTCATGACTCTCCTTTAGATGCTGTTTATACTGCAAGAAAAAACTGGAAAATAATCTAAAAACCAATGAAAGAAGCAGTTCTTAAATGATGTCAAACTTTACGGAGAAAAAGGGGGTCTGGATTCTAGTAGAGTAGCAAAGAATGGGTTGAGATGTTCTTGGGGCATTGTTTCGGTACCAAATACGAATCCTATATTTCGCTGAAGACTTGTGATTGTTCAAACAAAAGAAGTTTTTGAGAAGACATCTTTTGACAGGGGGATGCTGGGTTATAAGTCCAGAAACTATAAGTCCAGAGATTATAAGTCCAGAAAATCAAAGTGACTAAAGGTTTATAAGTCCAGATACAAATTGCACTTGGACTTAAAAACCTCACGTGCAATTTATAAGTCCAGGTCCAAATACAGCTGGAATTGTAAACTGCACGAGAGGTTTTTAAGTCCAGGTACATTTTATATCTGGATTTATAAACCTTACGTGTGGTTTATAATTCCAGAAAATTTATAAATTTTACTTATAATCTCACAGTGCGATTATAAGTCCAGATACATTTTTCTGGACTTATAATCTTTGAAAATTATTTGAAACTTATTCAATTTTTTATTTCTTTATTAAGTCTCTGTTATTGAACCTAGTGCCTTAAAGTTGAACATCATAAAAAATCTTTATCACTAAATATTTACTGAATCTTAAATGTAGCAGCTTATGTTTATAGCACTTTTAGAAGCCTTTTTAATAAGCGATTTAAAAGAAATCAATCAGAAAATCGAAAATGACTGAAGTTTTTTCGATTTCATACCCTAGCAGAAATTTACTAGTAATTTCCTAGTAATTTACTGGATAACTTTCCATTTGCTACTTGCTATTTACTAGTCAAAATCCAAGTTCAAATCATCGCCAAAGACCCGCATTTTCACTTGCTAATTGACTAGTCAATTCGCTTACAATTTAACTAATAATTTACTAGCAAATTTTTGAAAAAATTAAATGAATATAACCGTTGATTTCCACGTGTTCTCTTGATTTTTTTATTTGTGTAAATTTTTGTAAAAGTATTAGTGTGTTCTTATTTAAAGTTAATTAAAGTACACTAACACTATAAAAAAAATAAAAGACTTAATTTAATTAAGTCGAATACTGATGAACACCCATGACTCGCACGCAAACCTGAGGAAGATAAATAATTAATTGAAAATCATACAAATTTGGATCGATCTTATAAAGGTGATTTCTGCGCGCTCTTGTGAAGTATATGCCAAATGCCAAATTTAGAACAAAATTTTTTATGACGCAAAAAATTCTTTTTTTGATGATTTTTCTTAGGATTCGAACTTAAGAAGATTTGATCAAACATTTTACATGGTAATTTGCTAGTAATTTGCTAGTAAATAGCGAGTGTAATTTTCTAACAGTAAGTTGTTTTAATAATTACTAGTAAATTGCAAGTAGTAAAATAGAAAGACTAGCAATTTGCTAGTTAGTCTCGCTAGGGATACATTATCAATTTTACTCTAGCACCAGTTGGGTTTCGATCAACGCTCCTTTTTTACTTTATATGAGAAAGTAATAAGATAGATCAGGAGCAGGACGAATCTTACATTACTGTATACTCGTAATGAACATCTCATTTTTACTTTTCTTTATTTTTTGTGAATTTTTTGATCCATATAATTTGAGAATTTGATTCGTTAAAAATGTAAGTATGTTCACACCGTTTTTACGTGTGAATCTATTGGTTTTGTTCAGATTGAAAAATCAGTTTTTCAAATTGGTTGCGGCATTGCTGAAAAAATCGCAAAATACGCTTTCTGTAAGCAAGCAAAAAATCTCAATAACGAGACATTGTAGAGACTTCTAGTTTTTTACATTTGATCCGTGCTGCTCTATAGAAGAGCTGTATTGTTTTTAGGCAAGGTAGGAACAGCCGTTGCTTCAGAAAAAGCAAAAAACTTTCCTTTCTTACGAATTTTTCAAATAAAAAAGTTTACTGTGATTTTTATAAAATTAAACTTTGGATGAAAAATTTTTTTAAAAAAACTTTGAAAGAATATTCGTTAAGCTTTAAACCTTCAAACATATGCTTAGCGAAGCTCAGCTGAGCAAATCTTGGTCTATCCATAAGACTTTTGATGGTACGGTGTGAATATAATCCGCATTGGGTTTCTACCCGATACACTAGTTGACTTTTAATTTTTAATTCCAAAGAATTGAAATTTATCCTTGATTAAGGCATGAAAAATCTTAATAAGTTATTATCAAGGGGTATAATAAAACACAGTAGTTTAAAAGGATATATAAGGTACTTTAGAGGAAAAAAATTATTAAATGTGAATTCTTTGTGTGAAGTTTTCAAAAATTCATGTGTAGAATTGTCTTAAAGAAAAAAATTTAAAATAAGTTAAATAAGTTTCAAATAATTTTCAAAGATTATAAGTCCAGAAAAATGTATCTGGACTTATAAACTGCACGTGAGGTTTTTAAGTTCAAGTGCAATTTGTATCTGGACTTATAAACCTTTAGTCACTTTTATTTTCTGGACTTATAATTTTCTGTGCACGATTTTTGTATCTGGACTTATAACCCAGCATCGACAGGGGGAGGGGGGAGGGGCGCGTAGCCAGGAGGGGACAAATCCCCCAACGTAAACAGAAATCGGAAATTTTATTTATTTTGCTAAGGTTTTTATGAAAAAATAACAAATATCCCCTCCCCCCCCCCCCTTCTTAAATTTTTCCATACAAAAAAATTTTTTGTTCCCTCTTTAAATTCCTGGCTACGCCCCTGCACCTGTAAAATGATTCGGCAAAGCAAAAAGCTTTTATTAATACAATATTTGATTAAGCAATACATAAAATAGGTAATACAATAATCTTGGTTAAAAAATATTTGATTAAAATCGACTAAAATATTTGTGATATTGTGAATTTAAGATCTGCTTAGCTAAAGCGTTAAAAAATTAAATTGTCATGACATTAAATCATCTCTCGATTCACACCATTCGTGAATAACCCCTAAACTCCATCCAAATCAACATTGCGGAACAAAATCTTCTTATAAAGAATAATAATCACAAGTGTTCCCAAGAAACCACAAACAATTATCAATGCTGATGTTGATAAATCATTAAATTCCGAATTTTTATCAATCTTATGACTCTGAATCTTCAGCCTGTCATCCAAGTTCTGTTGACTCCAATTTGATCTTCTTTCAGCTGCTTCCATCTGTGCTGACAGTTTAGACAATGTTTTTTCGATGTTTTCAATTTTATTGTTGAGGGATTCAAGCGTGACTGACTCATTGATGTTGATTCTTGATGATTCCTGATACTTAACGAAAGCATTGCTTAAATCTTCAATTGATTTTGACCCATTGGCGAGTTTTTCTTCAATTATAGCAAGTTTGTGTTCAAGTGATGACTTAGTCAAGTTCAATAACTTGATGACTTCATATTTGCAGTCACTTGCCTCGATTCTAGTTTGCTGCACGATTTGACTCATAGATTCTGATAAATTCGTCAATTTCTCATTCGTGGCTTTAGCTTTGTCATCATGACTAAGTTTGAATGATTCTATCTGTCTTGCTGTTTCCGTTTGTGCATTATTCAAAGCGGTTAGTAATATTGTTGACTGTGCTTCTATCTTTTCATCAATAAATGAGGTTTTTTGGGTCATGCTCTGATTTAAAGATTTAGTGATTAACCGGATGTTTTCTAAAGCATTGGCAGTGTCTGCCTGTAAGTTATCCATGCTATTTGATAGATGCTTCAATTTATCCTGTACTGATCTGTTGAATCCAGCTTGTTCTACTTTAATTCCATTCAGATGCTTTGAGGTTTCAACTTGTGAGTCATTTAGTGATTTTGATAGACTTGCTTGTGAATGGTAGAGAGACTTTTCAATTTGGTCTATTCTATTCTTGATGTTTGAATGATTTTCAGATTCTATGGCTTTAATTTTATTGGTAGATATTTCGAGGTCTTTAAGTGATTTGATGTTGTCCTTTTGTGCTTGTTCTGCTATTGCTACGATATCACAAGGCTTGTAATCTTTAACCTTTTGAAGTCTCATAGCAAATGTCGAAACCATAGGAATTGTAGAGCTGTTGATTTCATGTTCCAATATTTTGACCTTATTTTGATACAATTCCATCTCAAGCTCTTTAAATTTACCATCAATCGATTTGTATTCTGCGTTCGTACATTTTGACTTTATTTCTGTTATTACTTTCTGGACTTGAACCGCGGTTCCGGAATCAATGTACATACTCATGCATTTATTCCTGCTAAATCCTAAATAGCTCAAACTAGTCAAATGATCAAATACAGCAGGGTCAATGTGAAAAACTTTATTGTCATGGAAAAGCACCAACTTTAAAAGACGATTGTATTGAAAGAGGTTTTGTTCGACAACTTCTATGTCATTGTATCGCAATCCAATCGCCACTAACTTTGGGAAAACCATAACATCCGACTGATGAATTTCCTTTAAATGACATTTTTCAATAACAATAGCTTTAATGTTGTCATAAATTTTTTCAAGGCCATTAGGAAAGTAATTGATGGTTTTGTTTTTAGCGAAGAAGCCAAGGACATGCTGATTATTCTTTCCAGACTCGTGCGTTCCAGATGTTGAGTTGATGAAAGCTTTGCTAGGTAAATTGATGATTGGATCGTTTTGAACAAGGCAACGGTATGAAGAGTGTGTAACGAAGAAAGACTCAAGACCATACGTACATTCAATATCTGTCGATATGGATGCATTGAGAAGATTAAGGAAGACGAATCTGTGAAAAAAAATATTAAATTATTTATTAAGTTGGTGGAATTAGGTTGGTGCAGTAGCAAAATGGAGGTTGACTTACAAAATTCTTATCCTCATCCTTATCCGATTTCACTTAATCGCTTTTCAAAGGTTTTTATTTGAGTTTATTTTAAAATCTTACAGCGGGGAAATGAAAACTTATCAAACAAAGCTGTGAATGTCAAATGATTTAGTAAACCGCTATGAGACATATTATGCAAGGGGCCATTCACTTATTACGTATCGCTTTAAGAAGGCGGGGAGAGGGGGGGGGGGGGGTTCTATTCATTAAGATCGAAAAACATGACACTCTTTGCAAAAAAATTGAATGGAAAAAAATATTATTTGTGCCTTAGCAAAATCCTTGATCCACTCCACCTAAATTTTAGACATCATAAGTGTACGAACCCCAGGAACCAGGGGCGTAACCAGGAATTTAAAGAGGGGGGGACAAAATTTTTTTTTTGTATCGAAAAATTTAAGGGGGGGAATTTTGTGATTTTTTCATGAAAACGCTAGCTAAATAAAGAAATTTATGTTTAAGTTGGGGGATTTGACCCCAAATCCCACCCCTGGCGCCGTGCCTGCTAAGAACTCAAGTAAATGTGAGCGTGTCTGGAAAAAAGTTTTCAATTTACAATCATTCCACTAGTTCAGATTTTTGACGTGTGCCGTAACACAATCCATCAAGTGTGGTGGCACAAAAAAAGGTTGGACACCACTGACCCAGGATCATTAATCTAGTTTAAGCTAGTCAATTTTCTTTTCAACGCTACAAAAAAAAATAATAAATAATTAATTGATATTCAAATCGAGGACCCCTTAAGGGAACCGTTCACTTATGAAATTTGCTTTTTAGGGGGAAGAGGGGTTGGAGGGGAAGACAACATTATGCGAAAAAAAGGTTAGCAAGGAACTAACAAAAATGTTAAAAAAAGGAGGAGGGTTTGCTGATTTATTAACACCCCTGCCCCCCCCCCCCCTCTTTCCGTTACAAAATATTCAAACGACCGAATTAAATTACTCATAAATTTTACCGCATTAAATGATTCAAAAAAATATTAAAAATAACATAATCTTGAGCAAATATGTTACCGTAGGTCAGTTAAGCTGCCACAACCAGCTTTGTAAATTTCATTTACAGTATCCATTTGTGTATGAATGAAATCACCAAATAAAAAAATATAAAATTACATTAAAATTCTGTCATATGACCAAAAAAAACAAATAAAATTTTTTTGATTCCAAATCTTCTCTCAAAAAAATTCCGGTTCCAAGATTTTTCTCACTTCAGTTGAGAAAAGACTCGTGAAGAATAAAGGCGTAAGTTGGCGATTCTGTGTGAATTATTTGCTGTGTTTTCACAAAAATGCTTTAAATTTTTTTCAAAAATAATTTCAAAATCAAATTAGAAAGTTAAAGAAAGTGAAAATAAAATAAAAAAAAAACTTTTAAAAAAGCTAAAAACATTGTAAGTAGTCAATAAAGTTTAAAATTGTGTGATTTCCAATTCAATTTAATAAGTTTATGTGTTAAAAATCAATTAATTTACAATGTTAAAAGTGAATTTTGCAAAAATTATTAAAATTATTCGAATTAAAATTCTCAAAAATAGCCAAAAATGACCAAAAATACAAAAATAAAGCACAAAAAATTCTGCATAATTTTTCAACAATTAAATGCCAAAGTTTATTAACATTTTGAAGTCCACAGGGAAATCCCCAACAACAAGCTTCGTTGTTTATGTGTCACATTTTTTAAAATGACTCAATATTCGGCTATGAAGAAAACGTGAGAAAATACTCAAAAAGTCGAAGTTGTTTGGCATTCAAATTTTTTTAAATAAATAATAATAAAAATGCGGCAGCTAATTGAACTAGCGAACTTATTAATAATCTGAAATCTGAGATTTTTCCAATTTTTAATCGATTAATAAGGAAATTATTCAATTTGTAATTTTTAATGGCAATCTCAGCTGATTCAAATGTTATCGGCGTTTAGTTCTAGATTTATTCTTGATAATTATAAAGTCTAAGCATGGCTAGTAAGGAATAGGGCATCAAAATAGGTTGTCCAACTGCGCACTATTAAACAAGAAAGTCTCGTTTTTGTGAAAAAAGTCTCGCCTAAAATTCATAATTTTCTGCTTTTTTGAACCCATTTTTCTTGCATAATGCTTGAAAATTTGGGCTGTCCCGCTCAGGGGCGTAGCCAGGGGGGGCCATAGGGGGCCCGGCCCCCCTTACGAAAATCTGATAATTGTTTTATTAAGTATTTATAGAGAAGAACCAGTTAATGTAGAGGAAGTGATGAAAGAAATGTCAAAATCAGCACGAAAAATTAAATTTAATGTATGAATAATGAATTAGATATTTAAACTTATGAAGAATGAATATAGATTTAAGGATACAAAATAACGGTTTTTTAATTTTCGAAAATGGGCCCCCCTTAAAAACTTTCTGGCTACGCCCCTGCTCCCGCTTTTTCAGAGCTTAAATCGGGACATGTCCCGTGTTTTCACCAAAAATCGGCAAAAACCAATGAGTCTCATTAGGTCTAGCTTCTTGGTTTAAACCTCCCCCTACCCTTGCTTCAAGTGCTTTATTGAAATTAGTACAGAAAACTTTATCTTAGACTCCTAAATTGATGTTCTGTGCTTTGGGAACTAACAAAAGTCAACTGTGACTAGGGTCGATGCTCAGGGTAGCTCCCGACACTATCTCCAAGTCACCCTTCCCCACTAATAATAATTCATAATATATTCACTTATTCTACAATTCATTACATTAGATTCAGACATCACAATTCCCTCCAAAAATGCCCATGCATCACCTAATCCTCTCAATCCTCATCATCCTCACAACAATCAACCTTCAAACCTTCGTCGAGTCTGTCACATGCAACTATGAAGATGACGGCGGCTTCTATACATTCATTCGTAAGAACCAACAAGTCCCAAGTTACATCTGCAACATTACAACCACAAACTATGGCGGATATGAGAATCCATCAGAGATTCGCGGCTATCATCAAAATTTAAAAACAGACAAGGAAGTTAAAATCATCCAAGCTCATTATCCACTCAAGCTTAAAGCCATCTCATCTGTATTTTGTCAAAAGTTCCAGAATGTTGAGGTTATGGACATTTCGTACACGGAAACTGAAGTTATTGATGAGAATGCTTTTCAGACTTGTGCAACTTTGAAGCTGCTGCATCTTCGAGTCAATAAAATCCATAAACTTCCTGATTCTTTGCTGACAATTCACTCGAAATTGACGAATTTGTGGATGAATTTTAATCAACTTGCGACTCTGCCTGAAAAGCTGCTTAATACACAATCGGAACTGAAGGGATTGTACCTTGGAAATAATCAGCTGTACTTCCTGCCAAATTATGTCTTTTACTATCTAGTTAAGCTTCAATATTTAGACTTGGGCAACAATAGGCTTCAAGCTATTAACCCAAATTGGTTCAAGAATCTTCAAATTCTTCAGGAACTAAGCATTGACTCCAATCAGATATCCGACCTTCCAGCAAATGTCTTTAAACCATTAGGAAATCTAAAAAGCTTGCTGCTGCAAAACAACATCATCAAAAACGTCTATTCCGACTCATTCGTTGGTCTGCAGAACCTTAAAAGGCTCGTCTTGGGCAACAATGAAATTTTCGATCTTCCTGGGAAAGTCTTCGCGTCACTTACAAGCCTTGAAGAGCTTTGGATCAACAATAACAGATTAACAACAATCCACTCAGACTCATTCTCGTCCCATGCTCAGCTAAAGACTGTCTACTTTGCGAACAATAAAATCAACGCGATTGATGCAAAGTTCATTGACAATACAGCTGTGTCGTACCTTAATATGCTGGATAACTTCTGCTATCAGGATGAGATACAAAGTCGTGAAAGGATGAAGCAGTACTTAGGACGATGCATTGAGAATTATCAGCCAAGACTTGGACAAGCTAGCACATGTGGAAGACCAGTTACTGGACATGGGAATATTATTGGTGGGACGCAGATCTCGAGAGGTGCTTTTCCTTGGTTAGTAATTGGGGATTTGGAGGTTATTTATGGTTAAGGGGTTGAGTTTGAGGCTGTTTACTTTTTATTTACTTCCGTTGCTGGCTGTTAAGATCAATTTCGATCTATGGCCTCTGGAAAGCGATGCTTAAGCAGCTGAAAACTGAAAATCAAGTAGTTTGCATTCAAATACTCAATGTGACTTAATTTTTTCAGGATTACTGCTTTGGTCACTGCCGACGGTACTTTTTTCTGTGGTGGAACTTTAATATCGAATCAAAAAATTGTGACTGGTAAGTAGCATAGCTTTTAAGCATCAAATATGGCTTGACTACATAAGTTAGTGTTGGCAGGCCTCCTGAAGTCAGGACCTAAATAGGCATCTCGATCTCACCCTGATGCTTTATAAATAGACGCTTGGCCAACTCTAGTAAGCAGCTGCATTCAATAATAATCATCATTTAATTCTTTACAGCCGCTCATTGCATCCATGGCAAATCAAGTCCACGCCCACTATTAGCCAGAGACATAGTAGTCCTAGTTGGAGTCCATGACTTGAATGACCGCTTTGAAATTGGCAGATCACCAAATGCTGTACAAAGCATAATTCTACATCCTGATTGGAATCCAAAAACAGAAGCATTTGATGCTGACATAGCCGTTTTGGTGCTTGAAGAGAAAGTCACATTCACAAAGTACATCCAACCAGTTTGTTTGATTGATCCGAGTTCATTCCTTACAACTTTAAATTCTGGTGTCGTTGTTGGATATGGAAAGAGTGAAGATAAGTCGAAGGTTCATGAAAATATTCCAAAAATCTTAAACTTTCCGATGCACAAGAACGACCAGTGTTTCCTTAAGAATATTTATTTGACAAAAATATCAAGTCAGAGGACATTCTGTGGTGGACAAGGTAGAGGACTTGGAGTTTGTAGAGGTGACAGTGGAAGTGGATTATTTGTGACTTATGGAAATACTTTTTATCTTCGCGGAATTGTCTCGTCTTCGCTATTTACTGGAACTAATGAGTGCGATGTCAATACTTATTCGGTGTTTACTGATGTTCTGCATTATACAGACTGGATTAATTCCATTTCACCATCACCAAGATTTTATAATAGCTAAGATTTGGGAAAATCTGAGTTTTTTGTGGATTAAAGGATTTTGAAAAAAAATTGTAAAATTGATAAAATTAATATTTTAAATTAATAAAGACATTTATTTTTTGCTGATTTTAAAGTGAAACTCTATTCTGATCTACAACTTTGAATCTCAATAATTCTTCTAATTAATAAAGATTTTTCACAAACATATTTTTGAATCATTTAAACTTAATTTTAATTAACGGTATTTTAAAATTCAAATCAATATTTTCCATAAAACTGACTCTTATTGGAAGTGTTTCAAAACAAACCACAGCTGATTGTTGATTTCTTTTTTGTTTACTGCTGACCGTGCTAAATATCAAAGGGTTGAAAATTAATTTTTGAATTTAGTTCATCATTGAAAATATTGACTGTAAGTACGTAACGTTGTCCTAGATCTGTGCTTCACAAAACATATTTGTAAAGTAAATAATTGATAAATTAAACAGTTTTTTCGCAAATAAGTTGAAAAAAAAATGAATTCTAAATGTCAGCTTATTTTTGATAACTGACAGGCGCGTAAATAGGGGGGGGGGGAGGATTTTTGTTCATTTTTGGTTCAATTTTTGGTTAATTTTTGGTTCATTTTTGGTTCATTTTTGGTTCATTTTTGGTTCAGTTTTGGTTCTATTTTGTTCATTTTTGGTTCATTTTTGGTTCATTTTTGGTTCATTTTTGATTCATTTTTGGTTCATTTTTGGTTCATTTTTGGTTCATTTTCGGTTCATTTTCGGTTCATTTTTGATTTATTTTTAATTCATTTTTGGTTCATTTTTGGTTCATTTTTGATTCTGTTTTGGTTTTTTTTGGTTCAATTTTGTTTCTATTTTACTCATTTTTGATCATTCAATAACCTTGAATTCCTTCTAAATTAATAGGGAATGAAGATTCAATGCAGATTTACCGAATTCACCTTTATTCATGGTGAGACATTTTATGGATGTGAGATTGAAAATCATCAAATTCCTGAAGATCGTGAATTAAAATTTATCGGCAAACATTTAAATGGAAAAACAAATTATGACGTGCAAGACATAAAATTCAAGGATTGTAACATCACAAAAGTACCGCAAGCACTTCAAAGGATTTTTCCAAATTTAAAGATATTAGATATAAATAATTCAAAACTTAAAAAAATATCTAAAAATGATTTAATGGATTACAAATATTTGAAAATGTTGATTTTTAATGACAATGATTTGGAATTTTTGCCGGGTGATTTATTTGATGACTTTGAATTTTTAACACACATTGAATTTGATAGAAATAAGCTTGGCGTTATTGAACCAAATATTTTAGATAATCTTCATAAATTGACAAATGTGAGTTTTGCAAGCAACCCTAACTTTAATAATTGGTACTCAATTCATCAAATTTATGAACCAAATTCAACAATTCAAGAAATTAAAGATGATCTTCGTGACACATTTTTTTCTCGATTTAAATTTCTGTCAGATTTGAAGAACTCGACTGTCGAGCTGGAAAATTACAAGAAAACATTTAAGGAATTGGAAAGTCAAATTCAATCTTTGGAAACAAGATTTGCTGATCAAAAAACGTCGGAGTTGCGCATTGAAATAGAAAAATTAAAAATAATTTTAAAAAACCATCAAAAAAGATAAAATTAAATTTTATCTTATCAATTAAGTTTAAACTTTTTTTTTGTTTTCTTATCAAATGATTCAAATTTATTTTCATAATCTAATATTTTACTATATTCTCAATAAATATATTTTTATAAATCGTTGCAATAATCAAACAGTTCCACAATCTTCTTACTCTTTCCATCTTTCAGCTTTACATTTTTGTCGTCATAAAATAGAAATTCGTCATCCTTAAAGAATGCAGTTGGTCCATTTGGTTTGAATGAAATGGCTCCTTTTAGATTCTTTGGAACTCCATTCCATCTTTTCATGACTCGAGGGTAGAATGGATCCATCTTGAGATATTCTGAGAATCTATAGAACCTGTTTGCTGAGAATAAGTAAGTTTTCTTGTTTTTTGCTGGAATTAAAAATTTAAAAATTTAAAAAAAATTGAAAGATTTAAAAAAAAATTAAAATAATGTTTAAAAATTTAAAAAATATATAAAAAAATATTAAATTATCAAAATCCTTACCCCAAACCATAGCAGCATCAATCCTCTCAATATCCGGATCATTAGTAAACCTCGTCAAATTATAAGCCATAAAAATTGGCCCCCTTGAGTCATAAGTGATGTACTCATTCCCAGAAAACATCACAATCTCACCATTCTCATCATTCTCATAAAAAGCATCAATTTTTCTAAATCTTCGCGGTAAATTTGGAAATACTTTGTTAAGTTTTTGTGGAAAATCATCAAACATTTTGAATTTTGAGTTAAATTTCCACACGTAATTGGATTTAATGATGTAAAGTTGATTGCTAATGATTCCCATGGAGTCATAGCCACCTTCACAAAAGTCTGGCACTTCATCTGGTGTTTGTGGCTGTAAGGAATAAAAAGTTGAAAATTAGTTGATTCAAGAGGATAACAACATCAAGAGAAAAGGGTTTTTGATGAGTTTTGACTAGTTTTCCTCAATAGAACCCACTTTTGATCGATTTGTGAAAATCAAAATACGGAATTTTTCCTCATCATGTTGTTATCCCCTTTAAGATCTATACCCGAATAGTCCCAATCTGGCATAACTCTGGCAAGGTTCTGGATTCATTTTAAGTCCAACTTGTGCTTTTCGAGATAGTTCAAATGTCTAATATTTACCTCATCATCCTCAGACACATGGGTTTCAATACTTGACGACGCATGCTCAGTTGTTGGCGGAAGTGTCGATGTTGTTGTTGTTGTCTGTACCTCATTTGAGCTGTGAGTTGGATTTTCAACTTCCGAAACTTGTGTAGTTGTGTTGTCTGACTCATCTGTGTTGTCTATTAAGGTTCTTTGAACTGAAATTGGAAATTAGCCATTTTTGAGGTTATGAATTAGACAAAAGGGCAAGAAATCAGCTTCTTGGATCTTCTGAACAATATTTAACATCCACGAAATCAAATTAATCACCAATTAAGATGCGGCATATACTATTTGTAACCACAAACTTACTATACAACTGATACAGCCCCAATATATCATCATAATCCAACTGAGCAGGTGACGAACCCTTGTAATAAGGAAACATAACAGCATTATATACCGGACTATGTGCCAATCCCAAACTATGTCCAAGCTCATGAACAGCAACGGTCATAAAATCAACACCCTCACTCATAGTTTGAGATCCTTTCTTCCAATTCTCATCATTATCAAAGTGAATGTCACCGCCATAAGAGTTCTCTTCATATGGATAGAATGCATGAGCTAAGATGTTTCCAGGACCATCAAATGGATATCTATCACCATGATAGTAGCTACCGAAGGCTATAATTATATCGGCTCCTGTGTCATTGACTTGTTTAAAGACTAATCTGCTGTATAGTGACCAAGCTTCAAAAGCTTTTTTGATAGCTGATTCCATTTCTGTTTGGTTTACTTTTGGGCTGTAGTTCGCTAAGCTGTGGATTAATGAGTTTGGGTATTTAGTATGTTTTTGTAGTTGTTGAAGTGAATTTTTGAGTCTTTGGTAAGTGTTAAGTCATTTCATTAAGGTTGTCACGTCTGCTTTAGTCAGTTTGGCTGGCTTACTTGATGTATGTGTGTCTGTCTGTCTGGGTTTCTAGCTCTTCTAATTTCTGGCTGGCTTATTTGATGTATGTTTGTCTGACTAATTTCACTGTGACTGTCTTTCGTTTATCCAATTATTGAGATTCCAGAATGTTGAAAGCACATAAATTTGAAAGTTATGGTGGAATGTGAATGAATACCAAGAACAACTTACACTGGAATGTTTCCCCAATTTTAAAAATTCTGAAAATGTCTACTCAATGGAATTTAATCAGGAAGTTCTAGATACAAGAGTGAAAAATAACATAAAAAATCGTCATGATAATTAACAAGGTTCTAGTGACGTTTTTGAGTATAACATCAACTTTTAGCATGAATCATTTGTTATATCCAACAAGTAACGACTCCCGTGTAATATCAGCAGCAGTTGCAGAAATTATTGAAAAATTCTTCATTGAAAAATCGATACAATTTGGAATTCTTGTATTTGGTGACACGACACATCACCTTAATGACGTCATTCAAGAATTTGTCAGTCTCATAAATGCACGTCAACATTTAACAAACCTAAAGTATATCGAAGAAAACCAGCTCATCACCATCGATACTCCCTTAATTGTCTTCATGAGGAACAAAGAATCTCTTAAGTCATTCATGAGAGTGTCACAATTAAATCCAGAAATTCAGACAGACATAAAGATTTTAATTTATTTAGACGAGACTATTCCAATGCTCCCAAGTCATCCACAGTTCACATACGATACAGCAGTGCTGGCTGATCATTTTTATTACATTTTAAATGAGAAAAAGGTTGTCGTGTTCGTGACAATTGAATACTTTACTGAAAGAGGCTGCAATGTTCCAACTGAGACGTTGATTAATGTGCTTCATAAAGGATATAAAGCATGGAAGTTCCAACTTACTGACTATGATAAATTTCAAAACTTTCATGGATGTGATTTGGTGCTGGATGGGACATTTGGGGTTAATTTTAATTTTAAGAATAGGAATCAGGACATTATTAACTGCTTGGTCAACTATGATTTTCTATGCTTACACACGATGTACTTAATATCCATACAGGAAGAGCCACAAGGTTTGAATGTCGATCTGTTTAAAATGATGTCTAAGTCAGCAAATTTTACACCATCCTTTGCTGCTAGACTTCCAGAAGCCGTTAGAAAGATTCATAATTTTAAGGAAAAGTATCCAATCGTCAAGTTTGCAACCTCGACTTTTACTAGAATTGTTGGATTCCATACAACATTCCTTTATGACCTCAACACGATAATGGCTGCAACACCGAATGAATTTTACACAAATTATGAGAAACTTTGGCTACCATTTGACTACTCAACTTGGTTCATTCTGTTCCTGACTTTCACTTTAGTATTTTTATTCATTTTTGCGAGCAAATTTATAGCTTCTTATGTCCGACATTCAATAATCGGTCAAGAGGTTCTCACACCAGCACTAAATGTCCTTCAAATTTTCTTTGGAATTTCACAAATGAAACTTCCAAACGCATCGATTCCTCGCTTCGTGCTCATGCTGTTTATTGTCTTTTGTTTGATTTTCCGAACTTGTTATCAAAGCATGTTGTTCGAATTCATGACGTCAGACATGAGGAAGCCACCGCCAAGGACAATCGATGATCTGATTGAGAGAGACTACAAAATTCTGTTTTCTATTCATGACTCTATTATTGATATGAGGGAGGTGATTCCTAAGGATGAACATTGGTAAGATTTTGTCACATACTTGAATATTGCTTGGAATCAGGTAGAAAGCTGAAAGACTAACCTTGACTAACCTCAGCTAGCCCAGAATGACACAGACTGATCATTAGATCGGACCTGCACCTGACCTTAATCTAGCATAAGCTTGACCTGGATGTAACCTAGTTTTAAGCTAGACCTAACCTATACCTAACCTATACATAACCTAAAACTAATCTAGACTTAACCAAGACTTGACCTAGACCTTACCTAGATCTGACCTAGACCTAACCTATACCTAACCTATACCTAACCTAGACTTAACCTAGACCTAACCTAAAACTTATCTAGACCTAACCTATACCTAACCTAGACTTAACCTAGAAGTAATTTAGACCTAAACTAGACCTAACCTAGAAGTAATCTAGACCTAACCTATACCTAACCTATACCTAATCTATACATAACCTAGAACTAACCTAAAACTAATCTAGACTTAACCAAGACCTAATATAGACCTAAGCAAGACTTGACCTAGACCTGACCTAGACCTTACCTAGACCTAACCTATACCTAACCTAGACTTAACCTAGACCTAACCTAAAACTTATCTAGACCTAAACTAGACCTAAACTAGACCTAGCCTAGTCCTGACCTAGACCTGACCTGACCCTGACGTGGATCATTCTAACCGATTATATTAAATATCCATAGGAAAAACATTCGAATCATCAATCACGGCGCAGAGTTGTATGCTCAGTTTTGCAGTTCTTATGACAATTATAGCTCAAAGCAGGCATTCTTCTTATTTGAAGAACAATATTCAACATTCACATCATTATGTCATGGAGCAGCTTTAAAGCTAAAAAACTTTGAAGGAAATAATGTTCTTATAGCAATGTATACAACCTATAGAAGCTTTGTTTATAGACATCTTAGTAATGTCCTTGAGAAAATCATTCCAGCTGGAATTCCTGAATACTTACTAAACTACTACAAATTGTTCTTATTTAAGAAGTATGAACGATTATTGGATAAAAGCCCGAAAGTATTGACAGTTGATGATTTAGGTTTTGGTTTTGTTTTGTGGCTGTGTGCGTGTGGAATTTCGATGATTGGATTTTTATTGGAACTATCGGCGTTCAAAATGAGAAGGACAATTAACAATTGCTGTGGAATTTTTATAGTCTTTTGGGTTTTAAAGATTCGTGTCAGGAACAATGTCATGTAATTTTGTATGTTTTTAAAAAGGTTAAAGTTGAACTGTAAAACTTATAATGTTTTAGTCTGTTTGTCTGTCTGGCTGTCCATCTGATTTCGATTGTCTATGAATTTCTATACTCACAAGTAAGTGATCTTTCGCTTCTCCCAATTCTTCGCTCCGACCACAAATCTTTTCCGTCTCTCCTTCGAGCTCAGCACATCCTTAACACCACATCTAGGCGCACTCATCAACTTCACCGTCTCATCATCCATCACCCCACTTGGATATATTTTACCAAATCTCTGAACATTTTTAATTCCTTCTACAATCGCATTCTCAGCATATAATGACTCAGCAACGAGACCTTCTCTCATGTCAGCTGGATTGTCGAGATATCCGTATTTTTGCATAAATGCGATCTGTTATTGTTTTGATTGTGATGCAACAGGAAAAACAATCGCAAGAAAGTCAAGTGCAGTGATAATGGATTGAATATTGTGAATGGGAGGGAAATAGAATAAAAAATTTGCGATAAGGAAGCTATAGTAAAGTTAGTGAATGGAATAAGTAAGGGAGTAATTTGAGTTGGAGGTTGATAAGGTGCATTTTTTTGGAATTTTCTTATGCAATTTGAGTTTGTCTTAATTTGATATGAGCAAAGTCAAGTTGAATTTTGATTAAAGAGATTGGCAAGTAGGAGAGTTATTCAAGTTAAAAGCGGATAAAGCGCATTTTTTTAATTTTAGGTTTTCATTATTTTGAGATTAGTCTTAAGAATGATCAAACTATGTCAAATGAAGTGACAAGTAAGAAAGTAATTTAAGTTTTAGGTGGCTTTAGCGCATTTTCGAGCATTAAATTAACTTAAGTTCAAATTATGTCTAAGTGAGTCTTCAAAGATCAAGTCTAAGGATATAGTTTTAATTTTGTCAAAATCTTTTGATTTTAGCCTCAAACAACCCAAACTGACCCCCCACACCTCTCACAATTCACTCATAAATTCCAAAACAAATCCTTATCAGCGTCTCATTTCTATGCAAAAATCATTTATTTTATTTCTACTCACCAATTTGTCTGCATTAAAGTCATCTACTCCATTGTTCCTCAAACTTTTCTTAGTAAATGAGTTAACCGGAGCACTTCTGACCATCCACAAAACATTAAAACACAAAAAAATCACAAAAAATTTCATTTTAAAAAAATTCTTTATTTATTTTATTTCCACAACTAGTCGCAAAGCTCACCCAATTAAATCTGAATGGATGAGTAGAAAAAAGAAATACTCGCAAAATGAATAAAAAGAAGAAAGAGAAATTGAGAATTATTATTAAAATTGAGATTAAGTTTTGCTTGTGAGTCAAATGGATTTGCTGAATATCGATGATTGAGTTAGATGAGTGAGTCAATTTGGTTATTTGGAAAGTTTTTGAGTAGGTGGAAGTTGAAGCTTATGACTTGCCATTGTTTAGGACTCTGATCGTTCAAATTGCAACAAAATCACGACATATGAGAAGATTCCTGTGCAAATCTGTAAAGAAAATTTAATATTTTAAGGTTCTATGAATCTAGAATGAATTCTAGGCATCGCCAGTGCCAACAACATTGTAGAACCATCGAAAGTAATAACAAATAAAATGCACATGACACCTGCAAATCACAACAAATCAAATTATCTTGACAACCTTTTTTCCCCCATTAGATTACCTTAATCAAATTATAAAAATTTGGACAGGTACTTGAAAATTGTGAAGCTCTTATCAAGTTCAGGAAGGTCATTAGCTTAATAATTGTGAAAGAAGAAAGACCTTTGTTGTGGTTTTGTGGTTGAAAAATTGGTTTTTAATTAGGAATCTGGTGGAAAATGTGAGTAGATATTCAATGGTCATCAAAAGTAAAGAAAGCAGAGATCAAAGACAATTAATTCCGCTGCTTAACTTGGCTTATATTAAGTCGATGAAATAAGTCAACTAAAATAAGCCGAAATTAAGCTGTTGCCCGCTTTAAAAGAAAGTTTTAATTAAGCTAGCTTTAAGCAAAGTCTAAATCCCGGCTGTCCACTGGTTTTTATCGATTTTTGACCAAAAAGCGGGGCATGTCCTGATTTCAGCTCTGAAAAAGCAGGACAGCCCAAAATTTCAAGCATTTTTCAAGAAAATTTGGTTCAAAAAGCGGGAAATTAAAGTTTTTAGACGGAATTTTGTGCCCGCTCAGAAGCTCGCAGTTGGACAGCTTATTATATGATGATTAGTTCCTATTGATCCACTTTGAATCGTAGGGCGTTAATAAAGGGGTTGAACAGGTTTCTCTCCCTGGCTAGAACAGCTACTTCTGCTAGTTTCTTTTGTTGTTGTTCTTTCTCCTTATTATTATACTAGGCTATCCGGAGACGCTCATAATGTTATAAACCGCAAATAACCATAATGTTTTTAAGGTCAATCCTACCACAAAACTTTACATGGCCTCACAACCCCCTCAAACTCGGATTTCCTTAATCCCTCCAAAACTTTTTTAATGGCTTCACAAAATATTCCTGACACCAAAATTTTCACCCCATTTGCCCATCTTGTCAACACTCCCCCCTCATTGGCTTGACACGGCTTTACAAACCCCCTCAAATATGGACCCACCTGACACCCACCTTGCCCCCCCCTCAACTGACACCCACCTTGTCAGCATCCCCCAAATCATTGGCTTCACACGGCTTCACAAAATATACCTGACACCCCCCTTGCACCATATCCTCACCTGACACCCACTTTGTCACCCCCCCTTCAACTGACACCCACTTTGTCCCCACCCCACCCTGATATAAACAATGATTTAACAAGCTTTCCTAAAATTCCAGACTCCTTTAAATGAGCATGATTGACATCCCGTGTAGATTCTTAGAATTCTCATATAGACATGGCAAGGAACCTTATGGATGTTGGATTAAAGATCAAGAAATAGCAGAAAATCAACAAATAAATTTTATTGGTCAACATTTAAATGGCAAAACCAACAATGATGTAATCAGCATTCAATTTGACAGCTGCACAGTCACAAAAATTCCACAAGGATTGACAAAAATCTTTCCAAATTTGGTAATTTTCGAGATTGACAACTCAAACCTGAGCCAAATAACCAAAAATGATTTGAAAGAATACAAAAATTTGAAGAAATTTATTTGCACGAGAAATGAGCTTGATTTCCTGCCCGGCGACTTATTTGAAGGATTTGAAAATTTGGAATTTATCAGCTTTTGGGGAAATAACTTGAAACTAATTGATTGTGAAATTTTGGATGGACTTGAGAAGTTGAATCATGTAAATTTTAAGAATAATCCAAATTACAGCAAATGCTACTCAATTTATCAAGTTTATAAGTCAAATGCAAGTCTGCATGAAGTAAAAGTGGAATTGACTGATAAATTTCCAGCGATTTTAAGGAATTCAAGAGAATTTGGACAGGAACCTGTGAATATTGAAAGTCGAGAGCTAAAAATGGATGTGAATAAGTCAAAAGTTGATAAATTTGAACTTAAAGGCTCAAGTGCGACTATAGAAAAGCTAGTTTTTCAACATTTTGTGATGATTCTTCTTTTTCTTGTGCTTAGAAAATAAAATTAATGTCATTTTTGATAAAATTTGAATAAAAATATTTTAAAAAATCATAAAAAAAAATCGAGGGACTTCAGCGCAAATTTTACAATTTGTTATTACGATAGAATTTGAAAATCGAATTTCTGAACGTACCCTGAAAAGTTTTTATAACAACAGAAGAAAAAATCAAATTTCTGAACGCATTCATCACGTGTTTTTCATATTAAATAAAGAAATCATTGATTTTAATATAAATCCATTGTTTAAAGACTTTTAACTATCCGAGGCACCAATAACTCGATGAAATTGAGCGAAATAAACAAACTAGAGCTCTCTACGATGTCTGGTTAAAAAGTTTTTCTCGGCCCGAACGAACAAAAGTGAATTATTAAGCTAGCTTTTCGAAATATGCGATTAAATGTTCAATCGGTTGTTTAGGAAAGCCTTAAAATTAACGGATTTTTAAAATTTAAATTCTTATCTTCAAAATAGTCAATAAGTTGCTGAAATATTTGACAACAATGATCAGCTGATCACTTAACTTGTTTGTTGACTTTTGACCGGGATTTTTTTTAATTTGCCAAGTTAAAGATTTATTTTAAAAATTGACTTCCTTAATTATTTTATTATTTTAAAGATCATGTAAGTAATGACTCTTCTTTATACACTAATCGTGGATCTAAGTTTCTCTCAATCCTGTTCATAATTAAGTGCCAAAATAACAATTCAATAAAATTACAACAAAAAAAAATGGGCATCAACTGTACCTTTACCGACAGCACATTTCAGCATGGCGAGTCACTCTACGGATGTCATGTTGAAGGCATGCAAACACCAGAAAGTCGCGAGCTAGAATTAACTGGACAGCATGCAACTAAAAAAGGAAACAATAGCGTGGCTCATTTGCAATTTGTTAACTGCGTAATTGTTAAAATTCCTCAAGGAGTCACAAAACTATTTCCAAATTTAGTCAGCATCATTGTCAACAGTTCGAAGCTTAAGAAGATCAGCAAGAATGACTTGGCAGAGTATCGAAATTTACAGAAATTTATTTGTGGTGGAAATGAGCTTGAATATCTGCCTGGTGACTTGTTTGAAGGATTTAAAGATTTAGAGCACATCAGTTTTTGGGGAAATAATTTGAAAGTCATCGAACCAAATATTTTGGATGGACTTAACAAAATAAAGCACGTCAGTTTTATCAACAATCCAAATTACAGCAAATGTTACTCAATTTATCCAACCTACAATCCAAATGCTAGCCTTCAGCAAGTCAAAATTGACCTTCACGACAAATTCTTTGCAAGATTTAAATTTTTGGATGATTTAAAAAAATCTGAGCAAAACTTAAAGCAGGAAGTCCAAAATCACAATCAAAAAATAAACGAAGTTGTGGCAAACTTTACGGACCAGCTGACAATAGCAAACGGCAACAACACATTCTTAAAAGACAAAATTGATAAACTTTTAGCAAAGGTAGACAAAAAATCATTCCTAACTTTAGACATCAAAGCCTTCCTACAAGACGACACTACAAAGGACTTCCTCATCCAAATCGATGATCATGAATTCCCAGTTCACAAATTCCTGCTTGCAGCTCGAAGTCCAACTCTGGCTGAAATCCTTAAAAACAACCCTGAAGTTGAAAATCTTAATTTGGTCGACATTTCTGTAGAAATATTTGAGATAATTCTTAAATTTCTCTACACTGATGAACTTCCAGGCGACGATGGGACAAACTTTTTGCATCTTTTTGCAGCTGCTGGGAAGCTGAAGATCAAGGATTTGAAAGAATTTGCGGCAATTAAGGTGACTTACAATATAGACAAAGAAAATGCATTGGAAGTTTTCAAACTCAGCAATAAGTATGAGGACGCTGTATTAAGAAAGAAGGCATTCGATGAACTCAAGAAAATTTACAGCAAACTAAATTTAAAGGATGAATGGGCAGTCGATCCAGAAAAAGTGTCAAAAATCATCGATATGTTTAAGAAGAAGGAAGAAGCAATGAGGAAGATTGAGGAGGAATTTGAAAAATCCGTGATTAAGGAATTTGAGGATAAAGAAGAAGATTTAGTTTGGTGAATTCGTCAGTTTTGTTGGATTGACTTCAAATTATATTTTTATAAATATTTTAAAATTTTTGAATAAATATTTTTTTTAATATTATCGCGTGCTGTTATCATTGTAAGATCTCGAAACTGTAGTCATAGCCTTTTCCCCGCCCTTGCTCGTCCTTACCACTCCTCATCCCCTCCTTTTACCCACTCTTCCTCATCCCCACCCCTCCTATTCCTCACCCCTCCTCTTCCCCTCCCCTCCCCCTCCTTTCCTCATTCCCTCCCCTTCTCTTTTCTTCGCCTCTCTAATCCCCTCCTCTTCCCCACCCCTCCTCATCCCCTCCTCTCCTCCTCCCCACCCCTCCTCATTCCCACCCCTCTTCATCCTCACCCCTCCTCATCCCCATCCCTCCTATTCCTCACCCCTCCTCTTCCCCACCCCTCCCCCTCCTTTCCTCATTCCCTCCCCTTCTCTTTTCTTCGCCTCGTCTCTAATCCCCTCATCTTCCCCACCCCTCCTCATCCCCTCCTCTCCTCCTCCCCACCCCTCCTCATTCCCACCCCTCTTCATCCCCTCCCCTCCTCATCCCCACCCCTCCTATTTCTCACCCCTCCCCCTCCTTTCCTCATTCCCTCCCCTTCTCTTTTCTTCGCCTCTCTAATCCCCTCATCTTCCCCACCCCTCCTCATCCCCTCCTCTCCTCCTCCCCACCCCTCCTCATTCCCACCCCTCTTCATCCCCTCCCCTCCTCATCCCCACCCCTCCTATTACTCACCCCTCCCCCTCCTTTCCTCATTCCCTCCCCTTCTCTTTTCTTCGCCTCTCTAATCCCCTCCTCTTCCCCACCCCTCTTCCTCCCCACCCCTCCTCATCCCCTCCTCTCCTCCTCCCCACCCCTCCTCATCCTCACCCCTCCTCTTCCCTACCCCTCCTTCTCCTCACCCCTCCTCTTCCCTACCCCTCCTTCTCCCCACCCTTCCCCTCCTTTCCTCCACTCCACTCCCATTCTCTCCCTTCTCTCTGATAACAGGCAGTACCTGTGACAAGCACCTGTTTTGGAACTCTAGTTCACACTTCAAACTTTTTAACGACTTTTAAAAATTCAAACAACGATCTTCAAAGTCTTTCATAAATTATTAAAATAAATTGAAATGTTTAACAACAAACATCATCTGATCGATGTTGATAAAGTTTCAACGTGTTTAAGCTTAACAAGATTTGATAGTTTATTTTAGACAGCGAAAGAACTTGTTAACTGACCATTCTAAATATTGACGGTAAGTTAATGATTGTCGTTTATCTTTAGATGTTAAGTTCAAGAAGATTGTTTTGCACAGTAAAGAATTTGAGCTTTAAAGCAAATTGCAATGTTTAGTGTTGTTTTGCAGCTACAGTTTTAATTACAATGCCTAAGCCGGCTTTAACAAAAAAAAAATAATAACATCCAGGCTGTCATGAGTCAGTATTAGCACTAAATTCAGTGAAATGTGGCACAATGCTAAGCTTAAGCATATCTAGGGGTGGTTTTTAAGGCTTCCTGGGAAATGCTGCTGTATACCCGACCAGCACAAGTCGGTAAGTCGAGAAGAAATCCGGCATCAAGCTGGAATGGTGCTAGATTCGATTTAAATTCAGAATCAAGGCTCAACCGACTTGTGCTATTCGGTAGAATTGACAACCCAAAACCTTCTATTAAGCCAAAGATACCGGTTTTTTAAACCGATTTTAAAATATCTAAAATAATTCACAGAAAAAACAAGAAAATGGAGATTCAGTGCATATTTAAGTACAGCGACAAACTTTACGGCTGTTTTATTGAAAATCACCAAATTCCCAGTGGCAGAGACTTAATCCTAGTTGGAGAACATGGACATGAAGAAACCAACAACGACGTGACTCTCTTGCAGATCATTAACTGCACAATGACTTCATTTTCGAAAGAATTCTTCAAATTATTTCCTAATTTAAAATCATTGGAAATTAAAAACTCAAAATTGATGGCTTTATGCAAAGCTGACTTGGCTGACTTCAAAAAATTGGAGAAAATTGACTGCCGTGAAAATCAACTCGAAGTTTTGCCTGGTGAATTGTTTGCAGGACTTAAGAATCTCGAATGGGTTGGATTTTATGGCAACAAGTTGAAAATAGTCGAACCTAATATTTTTGATGGCCTTGAGAAGTTAAAGCATGCTGAATTTCGAAGCAACACTAATTATAACAATTACACTGACAACACGTCACTAATCAATCTAAAGAATTATTTGGTCACTCAATTTTTTTCACTTGAACCATTGGCAATAAAAGCTTATTTCAGCAAATTCAAGCCTTCAATCCAACAAGTCAAAATGTATGTCAACTTATGTGGAACGAATGACACCAAAAATAAAATTTGGGAACAACATCATGCATATCTTCACGAAACGTATGCCCGCAACATTCAAGTCATGAAAAAAGTTGAGACAAATTTGAGAAGAAAAGTTGAATATTTTGAAAGATTTGGCGAACATTTGTTACATGACCTCAAAGCCTTCATCCAAGACGAGTCAACAAAGGACTTCAAGATCATCATTGACAACCACGAGTTCCCAGTCCATAAATTCCTGCTCGCAGCTCGAAGCCCAACTCTGGCTGAATTGCTGAAAAACAACCCTGAAGTTGAAAATTTAAATCTTGTCGACATTTCTGTGGAAACTTTTGAAATAATTCTTAAATTTCTCTACACTGATGAACTTCCAGGCGACGATGGGACGAACTTTTTGCATCTTTTTGCAGCTGCTGGGAAGCTGAAGATCAAAAAGCTCCAAACTTTTGCATCAATGAATCTGAGGACCAACTTTGAAGATGATAATGCAATTGAAATATTCAAACTAAGCGACAAGTATGAAGACAACGATTTAAGATTGAAAGCATTTGAAGAGATTCAGAAGATTTACAATAAAGTCAATTTGAAGGATGAGTGGATTGATGATCCAGAAAAGGTGTCAAAAATCATCGACATGTACAAGAAGAAAGAAGAAGCAATGAGGAAGATTGAGGAGGAATTTGAACAATCAGTAATAAAAGAATGTGAGGATTATGCACAAGCTTTCTCGAATTTTCAGCCTCGACTTACTTTCGAGAACAAGCAGGAGCCCCAAATCAAGAAGCAGACCGAGATCAAGAAGAAGCCCGAGAGCAATACCGAGAGCAAGATTACTACTGAGACCGAGAACGAGACCTTTTAAGTTTGAGTTTGAGATAACCTTAAAATTTACAGTTCTACTCCGAATCAATTTTTTAAACGTTTTTGTATCAAACTCTTTTCTGATCTGCAACTTTGAATCTTAACCTAACAGACAAAGAGCATGCTCTCAATGAGTATGCTCACTTAAATATACTAGCTGAGTATGCTCACGAGTTAACTCAGTCAGTACATTTAAGTGAGCATACTCATTGAGAGCATGCTCTTTGTCTGTTCGGGTAATAATTCTTCTAATTAATAAAGATTTTTCACAAACAAATTTTTGAATCATTAAAACACAATTTTAATTAACGGTATTTTAAAATTCAAATCAATATTTTCCATAAAACTGACTCTTATTGGAAGTGTTTCAAAACAAACCACAGCTGATTGTTGATTTCTTTTTTCTTTACTGCTGACCGTGCTAAATATCAAAAGGTTAAAAAATTAATTTTTGAATTTAGTTCATCATTGAGAATATTGACGGTAAGTACTTAACATGGTCCTAGATCTGTGCTTCACAACATATATTTGTATAGTTAAATAATTGTTAAATTAAATAGTTTTTTCACAAATAAATTGAAAAAAAAAATGAATTCTAAATGTAAGCTTATTTTTGATAACTGGCAGGCGCGTAACCAAGGGGGAGGATTGGTTTACAAATCCCCTGACGTTAAAAGAAATTTCTTCATTTTGCTAGGAGTTTAATGAAAAAATGATAAAAATACCCCCCTTACCTCTGAAATTTTCATGTAATTTTTTTGTATCCCCCCCCCCCCCCCCCTCTTCAAATTCCTGACTACGCCCTTGATAACTGGATAGGCGAGTAGCAAGGCGGTTCATAGGGGAAGAGGGGGTATTTGGGTGAAAAATCCCCCTTCGCCAACAGAAAGTTCTTCATTTTGCTAGGGTTTTTCATGAAAATCATCAATCCCCCCCCCTAAACTGTTTCATACAAAAACATCCCCCCGCCCCTTCAATTCCTGGCTGCGCACCTGTTAAAAGATCTAGATTTATCCACGATTAATTAACAATTTTTAAAAAGTAACAGAATAATTAGTTTAAAAAACCGGTGGGTCCTTAAATTACAAGTCGTGGAAACTCAGGTTTAACCCAGAAAAACCCCAAAATCCTAAACAATCCCTGAGCTAATAAACATGAAAATGTGAAATCGTTTTTAAATTCGCATAGCCACGAGGGTCTTGTCCCCCCTTAAACGTTTTGATTCAGAGCGAGAACACGTACTCTTAAAACGCTTAAGAGGGGGGACAAAACCCTCGTGGCTACGCTATTCTGTGATTTTTTTAGGATTAATCCTGAATTTTCACGCCTTGTCAATTTTACCAACGTTTTTTCTTAAACAAAACACCAAAAAAATCGAGGACCCCCCAAGGAGCTGTCCAAATCCTGTAATGGCCAACTCATGGGTCTCAAAAAGTTCAAGATCTGCCAAAAACTTTAAACCAAGTTGGATAATTGCTTATCATAAAGAAATGAGCTAGAGTGACTCGGTGGCGTAATGGTTTAATACTTCGGTACCTAATTATTGCAATACCGACACAGCGATCATTGGTTCGAGATTCGGCATTGGATATTTTTCAGCTTGTCCTTTGTAGGAATCACATGTACTCGAAATGAGGTTCACAGACTTCTTTTGTAGCTTCAGGCAAAAGTGTCGTTAAAAGAGTGGTTCGGATTCCACTATTAACTGTGGGTTTAGGTTTAAGTGCAGTGGTTTGGCGAATCTGTAGCAACAGGCAGCAAGAACCATCAACTCAAGCACTGGTTCTATATATTCAGCAAGTTTATACGGAACCAGTGCTTGAGTTCCTGGTTCTTGCTACCTGTTGCTCCACATCCTAACTCTTTAAACTCTCATTAGCGGCAAATCGCCCTAGCGCACCACTGGATTAGAATTGATCTGTGTAGCCAAAGGTTTTTTTATATCAAAATGTGCCATGGCACAAAAAAGGTTCACCACCACTGGCCTAACCTCAAAACATCTCTTCTTTTCATTAATAGATCATTAAAAAATGGGCATTACCTGTGAATTTACAGTCTTTACTTTTGAGCACGCTGAGGATGCGTACGGGTGCCTTGTCGTAGGAAAACAAACGCCAGAGAACCGAGATTTGGAATTGGCGGGAAAACATTTAAACAGAAGAGGAAATAATCATGTGATTCATATAAAATTTCAAAACTGTACAATTGTCAGAATACCGGAAGGACTCTTAGACAATTTTCCAAATTTAATAAGTCTAACCATTGTGAATTCAAGATTAAAGAGAATCAGCAAGTGTGACTTGGATGAATATAAAAGTTTAAAGATGTTTATTTGTAGACAAAATGAACTTGAGTACTTGCCTGGTGACTTGTTTGCGGACTTAAAAAACTTGGAATTTATTGGGTTTAATGGAAATAATTTGCAAGTCATTGAACCAAATATTTTGGATAGACTAAATAAGCTACAGCACGTTAACTTTAGAAATAATCCAAATTATGACAAATGTTACTCAATTTATCCAGTTCATGAACCAAATGCAAGCCTTGAAGAAGTCAAAGCTGAACTTTGCGAGAAATTCATGTCAAGATTTAAGTTTTTGGATGATTTGAAAAAATCTGAACGAAATTTACAAATCAGGCACTTAGAACTTGTTCAATCAAAGAACGACTTAGCTCTTCAAGTTCAAAATATGACTGGCCAGCTGACGACAGCAAATGAAGTCATTATGTCACTTAAAAATAATATTAAACGGCTAGAAGCAAAACAAGATATTCAGCCATTCCAAACTAAGGACATCAAAGCTCTTCTTCAAGATGAAACCACAAAAGACTTCCAGATCACAATTGATGGTCATGAATTCCCAGTCCACAAATTCCTGCTTGCAGCTCGAAGCCCAACTCTGGCTGAATTGCTGAAAAACAACCCTGAAGTTGAAAATCTTAATCTGGTCGACATTTCTGTAGAAATTTTTGAAAAAATTCTTAAATTTCTCTACACTGATGAACTTCCAGGCGACGATGGGACGAACTTTTTGCATCTTTTTGCAGCTGCTGGGAAGCTGAAGATTAAGGAACTGAGAAAGTTTGCAGGAAATAAAGTTATCGAACAAATTGATGAAGACAACGTGGTTGACATCTTCAAACTAGGTTTTAAGTACGACAATGCTGAGATAATGCAAAAGGCATTTGACAAAATCAAGGAAAAGTATCCAAAAATTATATTCAAGGATGAATGGGCAGTGGATCCAGACAAAGTGATCAAAATCATTGAAATATTCAAGAAAAAGGAAGAAGCAATGAGAAAAATTGAGGAGGAATTTGAGAAGTCATTGAATTTGAACTTGTAGGCACGAGAAGTTGCATGGATTGGTTTTTATTGAGGTTATCCGAGACGCTGTCTATTAAGTTTTGAGTATCAAGACTTTCTCATATGCCATAACTGAACAAAAATGTCTAAAGAATAATTTTGTAATAACTTTTTAAGACTTTAAATAAAAAATTTTGATATTTCTTATTTTAAAATAATTTCTAGAGTCTTTTTGCTAAGATAACCCGGGACATATCTTTATATAGACATAAAAATTAGACTCCAATACTATCTTAAGTGACAATTTGGATCATGTTGACATTACGGCGATAAGATGATGTTTAGAGGTTGAATAAATGTCACTGAATGGCTGTCAAATGACAGCAATTGTCACTAAGGCAATACTAGGTTGCCACGAGTCATATTGCAGTCATACTGTGACACTTATTCAGCCTCTTTCTTACATCATGTCGACATCATGTTAACATGAGCCAAATTGTCGCTTGGGTATGGTATTTAACATATAATTTAGACATTAAAGTGGTGAAGGAATTGATTTAAAGTCCGAGTATAAACTTTCATTTTTGAGCAATCTTTATATTAGTCACTGCAGCCTCTGGGTCGTAGCAATGATGTCTAGAACAGCTTTACAACATTGACGCAAATATGTCAATTTAGGATTTACATTCTATGATTAATCGCTGTGTGGACCTTTTTTGTTGTGGCTTCAACACCCCCAAGTAGTGAATTTGTGAGTTCTTAGACAAAATCTCATTTTTATGTTCACAATCCCAGCCCAAGCTCTTCAAAAATAACATTAATATAATTCATACAAACCTCTGCAAAGTACTCAATGTTCAACTTGTATGCGCTCATCACATGAAATCCAATTGGTTGCATCAGAATTTGATCAGACAGAAAACTCAGGGCTTTCATTCTTTCTGTATTAAAATGTCCACAATCAACCTTTCGCATAGCTTCCTTCAAGTTGTTCATCTAGAATTACACATTTTCTATTAATCACAAACCAAATGCATCCCCACGCCTATAAAAACTCACAACAATCTCCGTCCTATCACAGCAAAAGCACAATGCATAAATATAAGCAAGTTCCTCACTCGTGTTGTTCATAATTGTGTAAATAAAAGCGCTGACATGCAATTGTCCCGTAAATAATGCATAGAAGCGATAAGCACGTCGAATCAGACACATTATGATGATTGAAACTGTAATTGGCAGTTGCAGCGAGACTGACTCATTTACTAGCCTTTCCATTTTGATGAGTTCTGTGTAGCATTGCCGTAAAATGTGAATTTTATTGAGCTTTTTAGTCTTGATGATGTCAGTGATGATGGATATGTGAAGATTGATGAAGTCGACGTAAAAGCAGTGCTTAAAAATGACAAGGCTGATGATTATTGATCCTGTGAGTTTAGTGACAATCATGACTGCTGTATGGAGTGTGAAATTAGGAGATATTTGAGGAACAACCTCGACTATCAAGAGCCCAATGAAGATAAACATCATCCTACGCTTCATTACAGCATGCAGCTTCCAATAATGTCCTTTCAAATTGATTCCAAATTCATGGCTTAAAACCTTGCTGACTTTCCAACATTTAGTCCAAATTTTCTTGACTTTTTTAGTCTTCAGAAATGCTTCGAAGATTGACACGACAATGATGAGGAACCGGCCAGTGTAAACGACTATTTTGAACTCATATTGAAGGACATTGTGGGACGATGCAACATCCTCAAAGTTAATAAAGGCAAAGATGTAATAATAGCTGGATATTATTGAGTATGTTGGCAAAGCTATGATGAATAAAATGATAAACTTAGTCTCAAATGTTCCTTGATGTGCTGCAAACTGGTTGATTGAGTTTATTGAGTAAAATTGTAAGCCAAAGAATCGGAGTGGATACAGCACTGAGGTGAAAATCTTTAAATTCTGCATTTTATTTTGATTTAAATGCCAGCAGTTTGTTCCTTAATTTTTCACAGCAGCTGTGTGACTAAATGGAAACATTTAAATTCAGCAAGTTCGTGCACAAGAAAGGATTCATGACAATCAATCAAATCCATTTTATTTAATTAAAAACTTAATGTTCTCAACTAGGGAAGTAGCCAGGAATTTGAAGGGGGGGCAGGGAAAATTTTTTTAAAAAGGAAAATTTAGGAGCTGAGGCGTTGGGGAGGTTCATAAAAACCTTAGTAAAATGATGAAATTTTTGATGACGAAGGGGGATTTGTCTCCAAAATCTCCCCCCTGGCTTGCCGCCTGTTCTCAGCCACAGATTTGGGGGGGGGGGGGGGGGGCAAATCCCCTGACATTAGGAATTTCTTTATTTTGCTAGGAGTTTTATGAAAAAATCATAAAAATCCCCCCCCCCCCCCCCCTTCCTCTGAATTTTCCATATAAAATTTTTTTGTCCCCCCTCTTCAAATTCATGGCTACGACCCTGCTCAGCCATGATATTAGTGAGCATTACCTTAATTGCACAAGTTGGTTAATCGAATTGCCATCTGGTGCCAAGTTGGCATGACTCTGGCATAATGCTGGTTTCGACTTAATGCCAGAGTCATACCGGATTAAAGCTGGTTTTCTTATCGATTGTCTGACTTGAACTACTTTGAGTCAAACTAAGCCTGTTCAACTACGCACTTTTGAGCCGAGCAGTCCCACTTTTTTTAACCTAATCCCGCCAAAAATCCTTAATTTCCCGCTTTTTTGAACCTACTTTTCTTGGAAAATGCTTAAAAATTTGGTCTGTCTCGCTTTTTCAGAGCTGAAAATGCGACCAAGGATGCAGAACTGATAAAATGATCAAAACTGATCAAAATGTAATTTATCAGTTCCACACCCTTCATAGAAACATGTTCCGTCCCGCTTTTTGACTTAAAACTTGCCAAAAACCGATGAACAGCCTATTCATACTTTGCCTCTTGGTTCAGTCGTTGATCATAAAACGTAACTACGAAGAAAAACCTTGAACTCATCACATTAAGTCGATTTTGATGCTAATTTATTTCCTTATTGTCTTCATTTAAATATTTGTCGTATCTCATTTCATGATTTATTGACAAAAAAGATTTAATTTTATTTATTTTTCTCAGTGCTAATTTGCTAGTCAACCTTGTCAGTTTCGGTTTTCGAATATTTTGTGGAATTTATTAAACATTTAAGAACTTTTTTGTGCCTTAAAAATTGAACTTTAATAAATTTAAAATTAGAAGCTCAAGTTAAGCTTCAAAATGAAGCGAAAAAGCTTAAAGTTCACCATTTTTTGTGCAGTATTCTCACTCATCACTCAAACTAAAGCCCAGACTGCAAAATGTGATTACAGCTTTTATGATCACTTAACACTTGGATATAAAGACATAAATGCTTCTTACTACAACTGCAATCTAGACACAAGTCAAGCTAAATACGACAGCAAACTCACAAGAATTGATGGACAGCATGTAACTGGATACTGCGACGCTCATGTCCAATGGATTGGCAAATCAAATTCAGTCACCAAGTTGAAAACATTTTCATCGATTTTCTGTAAGAAATTTCCAAATCTTGAAGAAATTGACATGAATGATTTGGAATTGGAGTCGATTGATGTGGATTCGCTGTCAAGTTGCCAAAATTTGAATCATTTGCTGCTTAATAATAATAAACTTCGTGTGATTCCCGTGAATTTGCTGTGCAGGAACTCAAAATTGACTAAAATACGATTGCATAACAATCAACTGACAACACTGCCTGGAACCTTGTTCATGAGCCAAAAGGAACTTGTTGAACTTTACTTGTATGAAAATCATATCAGCTTCTTACCTAGCAATACTTTCCATCCACTTGTTAAGCTTGAGTTGCTGTACCTAAATGAGAATAACTTTCAGTCTATAAATCCAGAATGGTTTAAGAATTTACAGAATTTAAAGCTATTAAGCCTGTATGGCAATAAAATCACAGAAGTTCCATCCAAATGCTTCACAGCTCTTAAAAATTTGACAAAATTGTGGCTTTTGGAGAATAAAATCAAAACTTTAAATCCAGACAGCTTCGATGGTCTTCAAAATTTGCAATTATTAAACCTTAACAGCAATGAAGTTTCTGAACTGCCAGCTGACTGCTTTGCCTCACTGACTAACCTTCAAGAACTGTCTATGAACAACTAATTGACAACAATCCACTCAGATTCTTTTGGTACTCACAGTCAATTAAGAGAACTTAACCTCCAAAACAATAGAATCAAAGCAGTCGACGAGAAGCTGATCGACAACAATGACATCACAACCTTTAACATGATTAACAACATCTGCAGTCAAATGCGAATGACAACCTGGAGTGAAATTAAGTTGAACCTGCAAAAGTGCTTTGACAATTATGAACCAAGAAGTCAACCTCAGTCGCATGCTGACTTTATCTTTCCATTGTTTCGTAATCTTCGCTTGACGTCAATTCAAAATTCTTGTGGTAAATCATTTGCAGGAGTTGGAAACATTATTGGTGGATCGCACATTGCGCGTGGAAATTTTCCGTGGTTTGTAAATTATTTTTTTGTATTTTGTGATTTTAAGAGAAATTGTTCAAATAGAGTTGTGCTATTTCCTGCAGCTTCTCGTTCTGTTGTTCCGCCTCCTGTTCAACAGTTGTACGCCAAGGAATTCTCCGTCGGCCCTTAGTTCTATTTCCTTGGACATTCCAGAAGATCGCTTGTCTCGCGATGTCTGTATGGTCTTTCCTTAATGTATGGCCAATCCACTTCCATTTCCTTTTCCCAACTTTGTCTGCAATGATTTGTTGTTTAGTCATTGCATACAGCTCTGCGTTTCTTATTGTTTGAGGATAGTAGATGCCACATATTGCTCTCAGACACTTGTGAGCTGTGTAAGAGCTTTTGTGACTTTCCAAGTCTCGCATGCGTAAAGAAGTGCAGGCTTGACGTTCGAGTTGAAGATCTTCAGCTTCAGTCGTCTCAAAAGTCGAAAGGGAGGTCCAGACATGTCGTAATGAGCCAAAAGCTGCATTGGCCAGTCTAATGCGGTTACGGTCGTCGTCATCAGCACCACCTTCCTTAGAAAGCTTCCTTAGAGAGCTTGCAATTTGACTTAATTACTTCCTATCATCACGATTGTTCCTTGGAAAGCACAAGTTGGTTGATCAATCAAAAAGGCAACGCAAAGCCGTTATGGCTCTGGCGTTGAACAGATTCTTTCTTTTTACTACAAACTGCACGCTGAGTGCACTATTGATTTAGACTTACTACCATAATTTGACGCAAGAATAGGTTGTCCACCACTGAGCTTGAGACTATTTGCTCCCACTAGTGCAGAATCTATTGTACTGTACCTTTTAGACTTACAGTTAATGGTGAAATCAATAGAAATTTTTGCACATTGAGAAGACTCGAATAATTCTTAAGACCCAATGCAACCTGCTATAAAATCAACTTATTAATTATTTCTAGGATTGCTGCATTAGTTATGCCAACTGGGTCTTACTTCTGTGGTGGAACTTTGATAAGCAGCCGTAAAGTTTTGACAGGTAATGACTGAAATTAAAGCTACAACAATTTAGAGTTCTTAATGTTGATAGCTTGCTTTGAATAGAAGTAATTTCAACCTCAACAGCCTTAAAACTCCCAAAAAAATTTAAAAAGACAGTTCAAAATCTGATTTACAGCCGCACACTGCATTCAAGACAAACAAGCAGCCCATTCAAAATCAGCTGGTGAATTTCTAGTTCTTCTTGGAGTTTATGATCTTAAAAGCTTTATTGAAATCGGAAGGATCCCGCATGCTGTTCAAAAAGTCATCGTACATCCTGATTGGAATCCACTGATTGTGTCTTTTGATGCTGACATTGCTGTGCTGATTTTGGATAGGGAAGTTGGGTTTAGTGAATATATTCAGCCAATATGTCTTGTGAGCTTGCGGGTCATGAATTTAACAACTGGTGTGGTTGTTGGATATGGAAAGAGTGAGGATAAGACAAAGATCCATGAAACTATCCCAAAAGTCATTGCCACTCCAATTCACACAAATGAGCACTGCTTCTTGGAAAATTTGAATCTAGTAAAAATCTCAAGTAAAAGAACATTTTGTGGCGGTTCAGGCACAGGCGTTGGAGTTTGCAGAGGTGACAGTGGAAGTGGATTATTTGTGACTGATGGCAGTGCTTATTATGTGCGTGGAATTGTCTCATCATCAATAATTGGTGGTGCTTATGGATGTGATGTTGACACTTATTCTGTTTTTACTGATGTGGCTAAGTATGTCGATTGGATCAATGGATTGGCTAATTTTTAATGGATTTATTTATTATATAATTTGAACTTACATTTTTATATTTAAACTAATTCAAGAAAGGACATAATAAACTATTTTAAATTTTATAATTTTTGTTGTATTTTTAAGTGAGTGCAACAATCGCGTGTCTAAGATCATCAACATTTCAGCCAGAATAAATCGTGAGACGGGTTTTTATTTTCAAAAAATTTCTGTTATGTAGCAACGAAGGTGTAGTCAAACCATTTACCTGGCTATGCATCGATGCAGCACATTTAAAAAATGCATTTTTTCCTTAAAAATAAAATGAAAATAAAATAAAATAAATAAAAAAAAAACAATTTTTTATTTATTGCTCCGTCACTGCATCTTTATCCATAACAATGCAATTCAATGTGCTTAATCGATTGTGTTGTGCTGCATTTATGGTCTATCTTTTTAGCATTTAAGTACGAGCGTTTCACTAGTTTTTTTCTTAGTCGCTTTATAGTTTTGGGTCAGCAATGAATAAAATGGGAAAAATTTAAAATTCTTAAAACTTAACCTCAAAACCATAAAAAATGTTACTGGCGCTGTTTTTACTTAATTTGTTCATCATTTACATCACAATTACATCATTTAAATATTTCTGGAACCGCCGTCGTCTCTACAAACTAGCAAGTCAAATTCCAGGCCACAATGGACTTCCAATCGTTGGAATTCTACCAAAATACTTAAAAATCGATAAAAAAGAATTTTTCAGCTCAACTTTTGACATGATGGATCCAAACGCAACTCTTACTAAAATCTGGGTTGGACCTAAGCTAATGTTGCTGACTGAAGATCCCGATGTGATCCACACAGTCTTTAACTCAACAAATTGCATTAATAAACCTGATATTTTCTATCATGCATTGACTGTCATAAATGGATTACTTCCTTTATCAGGTCCACGATACCTTGAACATAGACGAATCCTCAATAAATCATTCATGCTGACTACATTGCAGAAGATCCAGCCTATAATAGAGGCAAAGTGCAATCGAATGATCAAGAAATTGGAAGGAAATGTCAATAAAGAACTAGACATAATGGATTTTGTTGGTGCATGTGCACTTGAGTCATTTGGTGAGGCACAGTTTGGATATTCATCAGATCTTTATGGATTCGAGGGACATAAGATAATTAAAGAGTAAGTTTTGTGATATATGCTGTCTATTTGACTTTTACCTGACTAAAATTAGTCTCCATCGACCCTAAAGAGTCTCCATCGACCCTAAAGAGTCTTCATCGACCCTAAAGAGTCTTCATCGACCCTAAAGAGTCTCCATCGACCCTAAAGAGTCTCCATCGACCCTAAAGAGTCTCCATCGACCCTAAAGAGTCTCCATCGACCCTAAAGAGTCTCCATCGACCCTAAAGAGTCTCCATCGACCCTAAAGAGTCTCCATCGACCCTAAAGAGTCTCCATCGACCCAAAAGAGTCTTCATCGACCCTAAAGAGTCTTCATCGACCCTAAAGAGCCTTAATCGATCCTAAAGAGTCTTCATTAACCTTAGTGAGTCTCCATCGACTCTCCAGAGTCTTAGTCGAGTCTTTACATCTCCAATCGATTGTTTTCCGTCTCCCTTGGCTGTCCTCAGTCTCAGGAGAGTTCGTTCAGCTACAGTAAATCTAATTTGCATCCATAAACCAAAATATTGTAGTCTTCTTCCAGATCGCTTGAATTTGGTCTAGACCGCGTTACCCATCCATGGCTTCATTATCTACCAGAGTTTATATTCAAAATGACAGAAATAAACAAGAAAATTGACAAAGTCATCAGTTTTTGCATAAAATACAAAGCAAAAGTAACGGAAACTTACAATCAAAAGAAGGTTGAGGACTACGACTCAGTAAAGCATCGTGTGATTGACGTTCTATTGAATCCAGAGAATAATTTGAGTGATATTGAAATTAGAGATGAGCTGATGATGTTCACGATCGGGGTGAGTTTTTAGAACCAAATAGTCCATACCCTATCCCGTACCCTATCCCGTACCCTATCCCGAAATTTTTGTTCACGTTGGTGGATTCTATGCTCAAATCTTTCAATCCTAGCTACATGGTTATCAAGATTTCAGCCAGGATAAATCGTGATAAAGACCCAGTCTTTTGACCTGGAGGTACTGCGATTCAAATAGATAAGAATCTATTGTACTACAACCTTTGACACCTGGAATTTAAAGTGGATTCTGAACCACTTGCAAGTTCTGGTCATTCCAAAGACACAAGTCCGTTTAAAGACCTGATGTACCCTGCAATGTACCCAATAACAGTTCGTGTACAAGACGCCATAAGGAAGTCATCCAGATGCTACTCAATCCATGTTTACCTAGCAAAGGTAACAAGCAATGTGCCAAAGATCTCAAAACTACATCCAACACACAAACCAAGCTTCGCGACTAGAACGGTAAAATCGAAAAAGAAGTTCAAAAACATGTCTCAACCTGGGATTAAACATGGCCTTTGGTATTCTAGGTGAAGTTATTCGTGCGCCATGCCGGAATAAGTTCACTCAGGCTATATAGGTGAAGTTATTACCGCTCTATGCATTTTAAATTTTCGACATTATTCCGAACTCACGATTTTCTCTACAAGTGAAGTTATTCCGCGTCGGTGTTATTACCGGGTATCAAGGTCAACGCTCTACCACTCAGGCAACTGATGCCATTTCACCGCTTTATTGCAGCCCGCACTTAAATCAATTCTCTCTGAATTTATACATTCTTTTTGAAATCATTTTGCTCTTTAAAAAGAGAAATTTTCTTAATCATATCAATTTTCTGAGAGTAAACGTCAGTCACAGGAGCTCAATTTGACAACTTATTCCAATTTTTTAAAGTCGTATTTAATATTTTGTCATTAAATATTTTTTAATTTTTTAAAATAATTGATAAATGTATAGAAAAAAAATTCATCTTTTTATGGATTTGTTGAGTGTTAAGGAATAGTTCCTTATAAGTGAGTCAATAAAGACATTAAGAATAAAAGTTTAAAAGATTAATTAAACTTTTTGAGAATTTTAAAAAATGGACTTTGTTGATTAAAATTCCAATTACTCAAAATTTTGTAAAATCATGAAAAAAATTTTGAAAACTTATTTAATATTTTTAATGATTTATGGAACCAATGGACAAACTGTAAATTGTGATTATCAATATAATAATAATTTTTGGATGACTTCATATCAAAACATGAATGATTCCGGATATACATGCAGCTTGATAACACGTGAATTAAGTTTCTTTCAAAAACTCTCAAGATTTAGGAATCATAAAGCTGGACGCAATGATGCTGATGTGAAATGGATCATCAACTATAAAGAAAGCAAAATGAAAACATTCTCATCAAGTATCTGCCATAAGTTCCCTAATCTTGAAATAATTGATATTGGTGGTGCCGAAATGGAATCAATTGATGACGACGCGCTGTCAAATTGTAAAAATTTGAAATTTTTGATGCTAAATGGAAATGAAATTCGAGAAGTTCCAGAATATTTGCTGACTCGAAACTCAAAGCTGATTTATTTTTGGATTAATAATAATCAACTGACAACCTTGCCTGAAAATGTGTTTATCAATAAAAAGGAACTTGTGGAACTGCTGTTGAATAATAATCAAATAAATTTCATACCGAGCAGCATTTTTCGACAGCTTGTGAAGCTTGAAATGCTGAATTTGGACAACAATGAGCTTCAGTCAATCAATCCAGAATGGTTTGTAGGTTTGCAGAACTTAAAATTGTTAAGCTTGAATGGAAATCAAATTGTGGAAATTCCATCAAAATGCTTTGCAGCACTTAAAAATTTAGAAAAATTGTGGCTTAATAAAAACAGAATTAAAACTTTAAAAACTGACAATTTCGGAGGTCTTCAGAATTTACAAATATTAAGTCTGCATACCAATGAACTTTCAGACTTTCCAGCTGGCGTTTTTACTCAGTTGACAAATTTGCAAGAGTTAAGTTTAAATAGCAACAAATTGACAATAATCCATTCAGATTCCTTCGATGTTCACAGCCAGTTGACAGCTGTTGATCTCGAAGACAACGAAATCAACGCAATTGATCCAAAAGTCATCGACAACACTGCAGTTTCAGCTCTTAAAATGACAAACAACAGTTGCTGCCAACTTGACACAGAAACTAAAAGTGAAATAAAAGCAAACCTGAAAAAATGCTTCAACAATTATCAACCACGACATTATCAAGCTAATGCTGAATCATGTGGAAAAGGAGTCAAAGCACAAGGAACAATCATTGGAGGAAGTGAAGTTAAACGCGGCATGCATCCATGGTAAAGTATAAAATTGAATTAATCAGCACATTCTAAGACTTACTAGATAAACTTACAGGATTGCTGCCTTGATTGCACCAAGAAACAAATATTTTTGTGGTGGAACTTTGATTTCAAAGAGGAAGCTTGTCACAGGTAAGATATTGTAGCTTTCCCGAATAACACAAAACGGTTGATCAAATAGAAATCCAGCACCAAGCCGGTGTGACTTGGCATGGTGCTAAAGTCAAATTAAAACCAGCACCATGCAAGATTTACTCAATTTTGGTGCCGGATTTCTATTCGATTAACCGACATGTGCTATTCAGGATTGTTGGAACCAGTGACATAACAAGGGGATTATAAAAGATCTCGGGTTCAAAAAGATTGAGTCGGGGATCAAAAAATTCAGGAGGAATCGATTTTTTCGATCATTCTCTAAGGCAGTGATGGTCAACCCATGTGCCGCAAAAAAATAACCAGAAAACCCTTAAACCATATTTTATGTGCAGTTTTGACCATAGCTTACGACCAAGGTGTATGGTTCCACAAAAAAGGGTTGTCCAACACTGCTCCAAGTCATGTCAAACTCAAAGTTGTACCCAATAACCTGATCCAGTAGAAAGACATTTTATGATTTTTAATATTTTTTTTCATTTTCATTTTTTTAAGCTGCTCACTGCATGTTAATTCTTGCACGTGACATCACAGTCCTCCTGGGCGTTCATGACTTTAGTAAGCGACATGAAGTTGGAAGATTTCCTTATGCTGTTCAGAACGTTTACATCCATCCTGATTGGAATCCACACACTGATACTTATGATGCTGACATTGCAATTATGGTCCTCGAAACTGAAGTCACATACAGCAAGTATATCCAACCGATTTGTCTCATGTACGCTAACTCAACATTAGCTGAACACTCTGAAGGTGTTGTCGTTGGATATGGAAAGGACGGAGATCCAAAAAAGGAACATTCAATCATCCCAAAGTCCATCAACTTGCCAATTCATAAAAATGAAGATTGCTTCCTCAAAAACTACGAATTGGCTCGATACTCAAGCAAGCGAACGTTCTGTGGTGGAGCTGGAAATGGAACTGGTGTCTGCATTGGTGACAGTGGAAGTGGATTGGTCGTGACTGATGGCAGTGCTTACTATCTTCGTGGAATTGTCTCTGCATCACTTAATAACATGACTTATGGATGCGATGTTGATACTTACTCGATTTTTACAAATATTCTGCACTTTACTGACTGGATTAATGAGCTTCCTGTTGAACGAGTTTTTTAAATCAGTTCAAAAATTTTTTAAGCTTTAAATCAACTGTTTTGTAAATTTTTTAAAATTTAAAATAAAGTTTGAGGATTCAGTAATTTTTAAAAGATTTTAAGATTCTTGTTGTTGTCGGCCACTTTAAATCCACACTTTTTAATTCAAATTAAATTGTTGGCAACTTCTTTTTATATTGGAACTTACTGGAAAATTAAGGTTGCATGAAGTATTGGCTTACAATTGTTTAATTCAGTGTTATCCAAGCTGTGTGCCGCGCCATTATTTGTCGGGACATTAATTTCTCGGATTTAAAAATATCAGCTGGATTGCGTTTTTTGAGAATAAATTGGAAACGATTGAGCCTGGCTTGTTAGATGATTTTAAAAATTTAAAGTATGTAGACTATTCCAATAATCCCAACTATAACCATTCATCGGTTGTGGCTGTCTCTAAGGAACTCTTGAGAAAATATCTAAATATTAAATTAAAATCAAAAAAAAAAAATGATGCAGAAAATCGGCAATTAAAGATACAAAGAGGACTTTTGAATGATTTACAATTTCATATTCAAGACGAAGCTACAAAAGACTTCCAGATCACAATTGATGACCACGAGTTTTCAGTCCACAAATTCCTGCTTGCAGCTCGAAGTCCAACACTGGCTGAAATCCTGAAAAACAATCCTGAAGTTGAAAATCTTAATTTAGTTGACATTTCCGTGGACATTTTTAAGATAATTCTTAAATTTCTCTACACTGATGAACTTCCAGGCGGCGATGGGACGATTTTTCTACTTCTTTTGGCAGCTGCTGGGAAGCTGAAGATTCAGAAACTAATGAACTTTGCAGCAACAAAGCTTATTGACGAAATTACCAAAGAAAATCCTCCAGATGTCCTCAAAGTCTCATCAAAATATGAAAACGTTCTTCTAAAGAACAAAGCCTTTTGAAATTTTAAAGGCATCACATACAGACATCGACTTTAAAGACGAATGGATGGATGATGATTTGAAATTGTCGAAAGTGATGGAACAACAAGAAGAAAGCAATGCTAAAAATTGAGGATGAGATTAAAAGAGTTTTGTTGAATGAGTCTAGTCAATTTGAAGCTTAATTTTCATTGGAATCAAAAACTCGAGAAAAGGAAAGGTTTAATTAAGGCAAATAATTATTAAATAAAATAGCATGAGCACCTTCCAGGGGCGTAGCCAGAAAATTTTTTAGGGGGGGGGGGACATTTTCGAAAATTAAAAAACCGTTATTTTGTATCCTTAAATCTAGATTCATTCTTCATAAGTTTAAATATTTAATTCATTATTCATACATTAAATTTAATTTTTCGTGCTGATTTTGACATTTCTTTCATCACTTCCTCTATATTAACTGGTTCTTCTCTATAAATACTTAATAAAACAATTATCAGATTTTCGTAGGAGGACCCGGGCCCCCTATGCCCCCCCCCCCCCCCCCCTCCCATTTGTAATATAGTCTTAGGAACTGCTGAAGTTATCGAATTGCCTTGAGCAGAGTTGTCAACTATAAAAGGCAAAAATCCAGTTCCTTTGGCTAGTCTTCGCTTTTTGACTAGGAAATTTTTTTTGCCTTTGGCTAGGCATGCCTATACATAGGTGTTGCCTGGACAATGTCAAAAGCTACCATGCTCTGGTGAGGCGCATTTCCAAAGGTTCTGGCTTTGAGTTTAGTACAAGAAAATTTTGGTATGTTTGAGAAATTTCTTCAATTTATTTTGACTAGTAAAGAAATTAACGGATTTTCAAACTTTTAAATTTCGGTTACTTTGTAAACTTTTTAAAAAATTGAAATTTGAGTTAATAAACATCCAGATTTTAAGGTTTGATTTATTTTTTGTCATTTTGAATTAAATAAAACAACATTATTAGGCAGTTTAGCACTTTTCGAGGACTTAAGTTAGTAAATTCTGAAATTAATCATTTGAATTTTGGTTATATAAAATAAATTTTTAAAAAAAAAACTATCCAGCAAAATGGTAATCAACTGTGACTTCCAAAATGTTTTCTATCAACACTGCGGCAATCAAATGACATGCTTGGTTGAAAATCAGCAACTTCCAGAAAACAAAGTTATTGAATTTTACATAAGAAATGGCCGTCGAATCCCCAAAAATTCCGTAACTTTCGTAAAATTTAACAATTGCAATGTCACCAAAGTTCCAAATGGAATTACGACCGTTTTTGTTAATTTAAAAGTTTTGAACATTTTCAACTCAAAATTGAAGAAAATTTCAAAAGAGGACATTGCTGAATATCGGAATTTGGAGCAATTTTTTTGTCAAGAAAATGAGATTGAGTTCCTTCCTGGCGACTTATTTGATGGATTTGTGAATTTAATTTATGTTACTTTTTGGGGAAATAAGTTGAAAGTTATTGAACCGAATATTTTGGATGGACTTGTCAACTTAAAGCATGCAAGTTTCCAAAAAAATGTCAATTATAATTGCTACTACTCAACTTATCCTATATTTCCACACGGAATCTCTCTTGCTGATATGAAGGCTGAACTTTATGAGAAGTTTCAGAAAAGATTCAAATTTTTCGAAGACATGAAGGAATCTCTTGAAGAATTGAACGAAACTGCAACGAATTTAAAGAAATCTGAACTTAAATGGACCTACAAATACCTTGAGTTGGATAACAAAGTGATGAACTTGAACAAAACCATTCAGGATCTTCAAGAGTCTGAAAAAAAGCTGAAATCAGAATTAGCTCATCAAAGGCTTCAACAAACGCAGCCACGAGGTCAAAGTCCAAACCCTGGTCCAAACCTTACAATCGACATCAGAGCCTTTATTCAAGAAGAAGCCACAAAAGACTTCCAGATCACAATTGATGGCCAAAACTTCCCAGTCCATAAATTCCTGCTTGCAGCTCGAAGTCCAACACTGGCTGAAATCTTGAAAAACAATCCTGAAGTTGAAAGTCTTAATTTGGTCGACATTTCTGTGGAAACTTTTGAGATGATTCTTAAATTTCTCTACACTGATGAACTTCCAGGCGACGATGGGACAAACTTTTTTCATCTTTTTACTGCTGCTGGGAAACTGAAGATTGAGAAGCTCTTAAAATTTGCAGGATCAAAAATCATTAATGAAATCAATCAAGAAAATGCATTGACAATCTTCACCATAAGTGCTAGTTTTGGGTTGAATGACCTCAAGCAAAAGTCATTCCATTTTATCAAAATAAAGTACAAAAAGATTAACATTAAGGACTACTGGATCCATAATCCAGAAACGCTTATCAAAATAATTGAAAAGTTCAAGAAAAAAGAGGAAGCTGTGAAGGAGTTTGAGAAAGAATTGGACAAATTGGCTATATGAGTAGGGTGGGCCAGCCCTAGATGTGTGCCGAACTTTTATGCCGAAAAATTCAATAAATTTTATTTCACAAGACCTAAACTTAGTTTTTATTATAAAATGCTTCAGTAAATTATTTGCATCTCTTTAAAACATTTAAATGCTACATAAAAATAAACACATGAAGATGCAGTTAGGAGTGACCGAAACATCAGGTTTAGGTCGATTGTCTATTGATTTTTTGACGATTTTTGGTCAAAAAAGAAAATCAGCTCTTGCCAGACTCAGCATACATATTAAAAGCCAAAAACTATATCAAAAAAGCTTAAAGTGGAGGGGGAGATAGCTGAACAGACAGCCAGACAGACATACAAACAAAGTGCCGACAAAAGTGTCTTTTTCTGGACTCTATTTTTCCACTACTGGTTCGGTACGGGTAAAGGTATAACACTGGACAATCCCAGGTGTACCGTGTACCGTACCAAAGGTGAACCTATGCCGTACCTAACCGTACCAGTAGCAGAGTAATTGGTTCCTGATAGGAAAATGCACTGAAAGGTTTGATAAAGCAGTACATTAAGGGATGTAGATAGGACTTGTTCAAAAAAGCAGGACTGTCCCGCTTAAAAGTGCACATTTGGACAGCCTCCTAATAAGTGAATCATAAAGAGATTTTATTTTATCAAAAACCTCCTCAAATGCTCCATAAAATTAAAGCTGATCAGCTGCAAATAAGAAAAACGTATTTTACAAGTTTAAACCCGGCGATCGAATTGTCAAACAGCTGAGTCAGCTTACTGGAATATTTGACAACAAAAGTCAGCTGATATTTTCGCAAACTTCTGTAAATAAAATTGTTAAAAATGTTTCTTTTCAAATCAAAGTCAAAAAAAGAGTCGAAGCTAGAGTCGAAGCTAGAGTCAAAGCTAGAGTCAAAACAAGAGTAAGTACAAAATGCTGAATGGATCATAAAAAACCAAAAAAAAAATTAATTTTTTAATAACTTTACAGCCAAATTTCATGCAATTTTTGTTTCTATGAAGATTTTGAGTCACCTCCAAACATCTTTTATGGATGCTTTTTTGAAAACCAGCAAATAGTAAATAATCACATTGATCAAGTAACATTCATAAAACCGCATGAACCTGGACAAAATAACAACACCGTGCAAACAATTACAATCAAGAACTGTAACCTGACTCGAGTGCCAAGTGGATTGAAAAAAATCTTTCCAAATTTTCAAATTTTAGACATTTTTTCATCAAACATCACAAACATCACTAAGCATGATTTGGAAGAGTATAAAGATTTGAAAATATTTACTTGTACTGAATGCAAACTTCAATATTTGCCTGGTGACTTGTTTGAAAATTTCAATAATCTTGAGCGTATCGAATTTGGACTTAATAAAATTACTTTTATCGAACCTAATATTTTGGATGGACTTGACAATTTAAAAGTAATTGGATTTTATGAAAAGCCTTGCTACTTAATAAGTTGTAGAGAAGACTGTTGGGGCTCTGTAGACGAAGTCAAGTCATATCTTTATAAGAAACTGATTGAAAAATTTAAGCCATTGCAAGATTTAACAATTTCTAAGACGGAACTGAAGAAACTTCAAGAATCTGACAAATCTTTACAGCAACAAGTTGGTCAGCTAAAAAAGAATAATGAATTCTACATTAATGACAATAAAAATCACAAGCAATCCATTGAGTCACTGAAACAGCAGTTAGCAAACCTAGAAACTAAGAACGAGAACTATCGAGCTGAAAACAGCCAATTGAAGATTTTTGGGGAGCGACAAAAACAAGAAGCAAGAGATTTAAAATCAGACAAAGCAAGGATCAACAAGGAAGCTCAAATCTTAAAGGAAATTCAATCAAAATTGACCCAGCAAGTCCAAAAGTTGAAAACTACAGAAAATAAATTAAATTCTGAAAATAATCAATTAAAAAATTCAAAGTCAAAGGTGGAAAAGCAGCTTCAACAATCCATAAGTTCTGAAAAGGAACTAAACCTTAAAATCAAGCATTTAAAGACAGTTGAGAAAAATTTGACAGACAAAAATCAACAATTAGAGAAGTTAAAAGCGTCTTTGGCTTACGATCTTACTTGCCACACACAAAATGAGTCCACAAAGGATTTCAAGATCATCATTGAGTACCGAGAATTTCCAGTTCACAAATTTTTGATCATCGCTCGGAGTCCAACTCTGGCTGAATTGCTGAAAAACAACCCTGAAGTTGAAAATCTTAATTTGGTCGACATTTCTGTGGAAATTTTTGAAATAATTTTGAAATTTCTCTACACTGATGAACTTCCAGGCGACGATGGGACGAACTTTTTGCATCTTTTTTTGGCTGCTGGGAAGCTGAAGATTCAGAAACTTGTGGAACATGCAGCAGAGAAGCTTATTGATCACGTTGACTCCGAGAATGCTTTAACAATCCTTCCATTGAGTGTCAACTTTAAACTGCATGATTTGAAAGTTAAAGCATTTAAAATATTGAAGAATAAATTCAGCGATGTGAAGTTTGAGGATGAATGGCTTGACAATCCTGAAAAGTTGATTAAAGTTGTGGCAATGCTGAAGAAAAAAGAGGAAATTTTAAAGCAATTTGATGAAGAATTCAAGGAAGTGACTGAAATTAAGTGAAGCTCTTGTGATATTTTAAGCATATATTTTACATTATTCAACAATAAACGATTTATGACGTTCAACAGTTAGATGGGGGGAGGGAGAGAAGAAGGGTAGGGGGGGGGGGGCAGATGAAGGGGAGAAGGGGGGATGGGTGAAGGGGGTCAAGTAATTTGTGATATCCATTTTTAAAAGAGGAAATTAGAAATTTTTTGTGTCTTGAATTGGACGTCACAAGGGAGGGGAGGTATTGACTTCGTGACAGAGGGGGAGGGTGCTAAAAATTAAGTTTTCTGATGGATGCCATAATTAAACAGCTCCTTAGTTCATTCATTGCGTAATGCTTTTAGAGGGAGGGGGGTCTATGATTTTGTTACGGTTCAAACAAAATAATTTTTTTACTATACTAATCTTGTCACATGGGGGGGGGGTCTAAAAAGTCTTTTTTTTATGTTACGTAATAAGTAAACGGCCCTTCATTATGATAATCAATTTAGACGCGGAGCCATACTTATACTTTCTATACTTCTACTTCCTATACTTTCCAAACAAAAAGTGTTTTAATTACGCCCTTATATCCATTTATTAATTTTTTTGTACTCGTACCTTGAATTTTAAATAAAAATTATAATAATATAAAAACTAGATTTATAAAATGTTTCAAGACTTCATTTAATTATTAAGAACCTCCCTTCCCCATCTTCTACTGCAATTGATCTCACAAGGTAAATTTGCGCCATTCTGAAGCTGGTTTCTAGTGCTACCTGGTGCAACATAGGACAAGAATGAAATTCAATATGTGGTACGGATAAAATTTGTCCGCGACTAGAGTAGAGTGCCCTAAGTAGCTCTAGAAATCAACTACTGATTATTTTTTCCTGATGTTTTGCCAAATTACCTTTTTAAGCTTAGCTATAACCAAAACGGACTTTAAAATTTTAAAAAAATTATCGATTTCCCAAAACAGATGTTTAAGTCATCTGGAATATTTACAAATAAAAAACAGCTGATTTTAAAAATTTATTTATTTTTTGAAAAATTGTTCATCATGTTTTTATTTGAATGGTCAAAACCAAAGTAAGTAAAGCCTTAACTGTGAAGTAACGGTCTTTTCACTTTTATATTTCTTGCTTCATTTCCGAATTATCGAACTGATTCGAAATTCGACCATTTTCCCCACTTTTATTTCATCCTTCGAGCGACATGTTAGTCCCGACAATTGTAAGAAATAACATTAATTAAATTCTCATTTATAATATACATTTATATTCATTACAGCGATAAAATCGCATATATAGTTTCACATATATCAAATAAATACATTTTACAAGTTTATTTGCGATTATTATTTCTTCACGTGAAACAATCGATATAATCATTGTCGATTGACGATCTTTCACATCATTTTATCGAATTTTTTCGCGCATTTCATCAAATTAATGAAAGCGAGTGTCGATCTGCCGATATCGCTTAGAACTTTCCACGAAAATTCGATTTTTCTTCACTACGTCGCATCGAAGAGTATTTTACCATGAATAACCTGAAAATTTTTCCTGACTTTTGTGAATATGCTGACATTTCACCTGAAAATCATCGTTTGTGTATGTTTAAATGTAAAGTGGCAACTGGATGTATGGTAAAATGCTGTAATGCAAATGGAAACTGCCCAAATATCGCTCATGCCGCATGTTCAAATTTAAATCCGGAAGTGATAAAATTCTTATCATTCTGGTACTGCACAGCATGCATTGAACATGAACCGGAACTATTTAATGCCTACGGAGAAGAACTTACAGGCGCAATTTCACTGAGCACCTTACATCAGCTCGTCACTACTCGTCAAATCAAACCGTCAGAACTTCCAGGAATCATGAAAGAAAAAGAAAACGCACAAAGAGCTGCTGTTGAGCTGTCCAAAGCACTGGACGAAATTGATGACAAAGAATCAAAATTATTAGATGCACAGCAGCAAATTGAAGCTCTTTCAAAACAGCTAGAGGAACAAAAAGCTTCCACATCGTCGCAAATTCCGTCAGTTACAACTCAAGCACAATCCGGAAGTGAATCCAATGCATTAACATTGGATGAAGTTGTACAAAGAGCGCGTCGTCGACGAGAAAGCAGTGAGCTTTTCGAACGTGAGCAGCCAAACGCTGTCGGTTTCAATCTCCCTAGCACACATCAAAGTCAACGGTATTCAACACCGTTTCCACACGCTCCAAACGACGCTACAATGGGCTCTTTAAGCTCTGATGATCCAAATAATCTGTACGCTACATTTATTGCTGAGTCTGCAACTGCGTATCCTGACTACGAAGCTCAAGAAGCAAATGCTAACAGTCTCGGAACAGAGCAATTAGCTTTATTACGCGCACATATTACAGATCCACAACCATTTAGTGGTGACGTAGCAACATGGGCGACTTTCAGGACATTATTCGTAGGCTCAAGTCGTCGTGGTCATTATAGAGCAGTTGAGGACATGGAACGTCTTCGCAAATTGATCACTGGTGATGCATATCGAATGTATGGAACCGAAATAGTTGATGCATTCGCACATCCAGTAACAGTATTAAGAAAACTGGACAATTTTTATGGCATTAAAGGCAATGCAGTCCGTCATCATCTTGATTCAATTTGGAACTTAAAACGTGTGGATAAAGTTAATGATCGAGAGTTGTTGCTCAATCTGTTCGCTACAGTCAAGCAATATGCTTTGCTTTGTCGGCAATATAGTCAAACCGCGGAACTTACAGCCGAAAGCTCGCTCTTGCTCATCGAGAACAGAATGCACCAAGACCATGTCGTCTCCTGGCGTAATTATGCAGCAACCAACAACATGCCATTATCAGTCGACACTATCATCATATTTCTAGAGGAACAACTGAGAATTATTCAGCAAAAACCTATTGCAAACAAAATCAAGTCAACACATGATCACGTTTTGGTATCTCATTCTACGGGGGGACAGGAAGAACGAAGAAACACAGGGTTTGAACAGAAGAGGAAGCGAAGCAGTCAATCGTCAGCTCCAAAGCCTCACAGATGTTTTAATTGTAAAGAGGAACATCCGTTATATAAATGTCCTCAATTAAGCAATGCCTCTGTACCCGAAAGAATAGAGACAATCAAAAAGTTGAAAGTTTGTGAGTGCTGTTTAAGTGCAAAGCGTCACAATGCAGCCAGTTGTACTAGAGAGAGGAAGTGTCCTGTCATGGGATGCAATATAACGAAAAAGCACCCACTGTTGCATGGTCATCCGAACAATCTAATTAAAGATTTTGTATTTAGTGGCTACCACAAAGTTATGACCATCAAGCACAACCGTGTGCCAGTTCTTTTCAAAGTCGTGCCTGGTCATGCAGTCGCATCCAATGGGAAACTTATGCCAGTCAATATTTTATTCGATACTGGATCAGGATTATCACTTTCTGACATGTCATTGCTCTCACGTGCAGGCTGGCCCAGCCGTGAATATGAGCTAGCAATGAAATGGACATCTGACGTAATTCGAACGGAATCAAATGCTCGTTTACACGACGTCGTCTTTATTCCTTACAACAGAAAGCAGCCAGTCGTTTTCAAAGGAGTAACAGCCATTGACAATTTAGAATTACCAGAACAAAAACAAGATCCAGCAGAAATAAAGGGACAGTTTCCATATTTAGGCAAAATTCCAATCCCCAAATTTACCAAGCAACGTCCACTAATATTGTTAGGCTTGCCTCATGCTAAATTCATGGCAGCAATGCAAACCATCAAAGATCCAAATGGTCAAGGACCAATAGCTGAATTATCTGAATTAGGCTGGACAGTAAGTGGAACACGACCAAATCTTGGCATTGAATCAATGCGGGATCCAGAAGTCGTTGGATATACTCTTATCCACTCAAACACACAAAATGCCGATAATGTAGACATTTTAATTGAGCTATTGAAGCAACAATTCAGCATGGACAGTTTAGGTATTCGTGGACAGCAGACAACTTGCATGAGTGCCGACGATAGGAAAGCATTAAGTCTGATCGAAAGTTCTTTAAAGTTCGTACCAGAAGAAGGACGATATGAAATAGGGCTATTATGGCGAAATGATAATTGCATCATGCCTGACAATTATAAATTAGCATTTAATCGCCTACAAGCAGCTGAAAGTCGTCTCAAGAAACTGGGCCTGGAAAAGACCATAATAGATCAATTTAATGCCGAAAAAGCAAGTGGACAACTAGTCAAAGTTACACGGGAGGAACTAAATCAGCTCAAACGTGTCAATTTTGTACCAGGTTTTGTCACATTCAATTACAATAAGATTCCACCGAAAGCGAGATGGGTCAACGACACAGCAGCACAATTCAAAGGAGTTTCACTCAATTCGAAGTTGCTGAAAGGTCCTGACAATTTAGTGCCACTTCCACAAGCACTTTGTGCATTACGTGAAGGAGAAATTGCGCTACTCGCTGATGTTAAGAAAATGTTTAATCAAATCTTGATGAAAAAAGAGGATCAATACTGTCAACTATGTCTGTGGCGAGATTGCGATAAATCTCGAGAACCTGAAATGTTTAGACAGACACGCGTTATTTTCGGACCTACGTGTTCACCATCAGCAGCAAATGCCGTTCGTATTCGACACGCAGAATCATCAAGCACTAAATATCCAGAAGCAGCTGAAGCAGCACTTCATCAAATGTACATGGATGACGTACTGGATAGTCGAAATTCACTAGAAGATGCTAAAAGAGTAGCTCTTGACTTAATCTCAATGTTTGATGAAATTGGCTGGGAATTAACTCAATTCCAGTCAAACAGTAAAGAACTGCTATCGAAATTACCACCGGAACGTGTAAGCGAAAAGATGCTAGAGCTAGACGTCGAACAAGGTGAACCAATGGTAACAAAAGTACTCGGAATGTTTTATGATCCTCGAAACGATCAGTTTATGTTCAAGCTCAACGACGATAAACTATTAAAGAAATGTTTAACTGCAAATTATCACCCAACAAGAAAGGAGATGATAAGCCTAGTCATGAGGATCTATGATCCATTAGGTCTCATTTCTCATTTTACTATACACGGTAAATTGTTGCTACAAGAAGTTTGTCGCCGAGG